GTGCGTGTGTGTGTGTGTGTGTGCGTGTGTGGGTGTGTGTGCGTGTGTGTGAGTGTGTGTGTGTGCGTGTGCGTGTGCGTGAGCGTGAGCGTGTGCGTGCGCGTGTGCGTGCGTGCGTGTGTGTGTGTGTGTGTGTGTGCGTGTGTGGGTGTGTGTGCGTGTGTGCGCGTGCCCGTCGGCATCTTTGCACCTAGGTGCCGCCTCATGCGTCGTCCTTCCTCTACCCTGTCCCGCCGTCGCGCGTCGCTCCTCTTTCTGTGTTCTTCCGGCCGGTTCACATGGGCGCTGGCGCTGGCCGCGCTGATTATGTCCTGCGGTGCCGCATCGTCCTGCCCCAAAGCGGGCCAATAGCGGCGCTGTCCTGTCCGCGTGCGTGTGTATGTGTGTGTGCGTGTGTGTGTGTGCGCGTGTGTGTGTGTGTTTGTGTGTGTGCGCGTGTGTGTGTGTGTGTGTGTGTGAGTGTGTGTGTGTACGTGTGCGCGTGTGCGCGCGCGTGTGTGTGTGTTGTGTGTGTGTGTGTGCGCGTGTGTGTGTGTGTGAATGTGTGTGAATGTGTGTGTGTGTTTGTTTGTTTGTTTGTTTGTTTGTTTGTTTGGTTGGTTGGTTGGTTGTTTGTTTGTTTGTGTGTGTGCGTGACAAAATAGCTGCTCTTACGCGGCCTGCCCCGCCTCGCCCTGGTCGAGACGGGCTGCGGGGGCCTTCTCTTTGCCCCGCCTGACGCGGTCCCTGGGCGATCCGTCGCTGTGGATCCCGCGTCTCTTGCCTCGTTGACGGCTCCAGCCTTGCACGCCTCGAGCTTTGCCCTGGACCCTCCAGGCGCCTGGGCGGTGGGCTGCGCGGCTGCCGCTCGCCCTCCTCCCCAGCCCCAGGGCGGCCCTCGCGCCTCTGTGGCTGCTTGGGCTTCCCTTGTCTGCCCGCCACGCTCGGTGCTTCTCGGCGTGGTCGCCGCCTCGGGTGGCTCCTCCACCGGGGTCGGCCTGGGCCCCCGCGGCCCGCCTCGGGCGGTGCCCGCGCTCTCGGCGACCGCGCCTCCCCCGGCCTCCCGGCCTGTCCGCGCTCGCGCCCCGCCGCGGTGTTCCGGCCCCTGGCCGCCGCCCCCCGCCTGCGGCCCCTCGGGGCCGCCCCCCTCGCCCCGCCCCTCCTCCGCCCGCGGGGCCCTCCAGCGCGCCGCTCTTGCTCCGGCGCCCTGCTGCTCTCCGCCAAGAGGCCCCCCCTCGCCGCCCGCCGAGCGCCGGCGCGCGGCCCCCGGGCGCGGGCGCGCCTCCGCGCGCCGCCCGCCCGTCGCCCGCCGCCCCTTTCGCAGCGCCGCCCTGGCTGCTGCTCCGCCCCCGCAGCCCGCGGCCCTCGCCCCCCTGCTGCCGCCCCGCCGCCGCCCGCGCGGCCGCTGCCCGCCGCCGGGCCGCGCGGCCGCGGGGCCGCCGCTGCCCCGTCCGAGGCGCCGGCGGCCTCCTCCGTTTGCTCTCTGCCTCTCCTCCGAGGCTGCGCACTCTCCGCGGCGGCGCCCGAGGCGCTGGCGAGCCGCCGCGCCGGTACGACCGACGCGCGTGTGTGTGTGTGTGTGTGTGTGTGTGTGTGTGTGTGTGCTTGTGCTTGTGCTTGTGCTTGTGCTTGTGCTTGTGCTTGTGCTTGTGCTTGTGCTTGTGCTTGTGCTTGTGTGTACAGTGCCGTTTTTAATACGTGCTCCGCGTGCGGATCATGTATTGAACATGCAGGGTTTAGCATTAAAAACAATGATGAGTTCACGCATCGATTTTTCATACATTAATCATGTATTAAAAATCCCATACTTGTAAAATCCCATGTATCAGAAACTGCCCTGTTAGTGGTTCGCGCGCTTCGTGCGTATGCGTGCACGTGTGCTGCGAAAGTGTTCCGCCTCTGAGTGCTGGTCCTCCTCCCCTCTCCTTCCCGCGGCCGCCCGCCCTCCTTCTCCCCCCTCCCGCATGCCTGCCAGTTCGCTTTGTGGTGCCCCTGCATCGCTGCTGCGCTGGAGCGGCTTGCCCCGCTTCGCCGCCGACGGAAATCAGACTGGGTAGTCGAAGGCCAGACTGTCAGACTGGATTGGGCCCCAAGGGCCAATCTGGCCTGGCCATATTGGAGGATTTGGGTTATTCGCCAGACTGGATTCGCGTTGGCTCCCTCGCCAGAGTGCCCCCGTTTGCCAGATTGGGCCTGCCAGATTGGCTTCGACTACTCAGTCAGAGCCCCGAATCATCAGGGGTAACTCGGGTCAGGGCTAACTCGGGTTCGTTTTTCGGGAATCCGAACCCGAGTTACCATGGGCCCGAGCTACCCCGGATAATTCGGGCGCCCAGAGCCCCAACTCATCAGGGGTAATTCGGGTCAGGGCTAACTCGGGTTCGTTTTTTCGTGAATCCAAACCCGAGTTACCCCGGACACGAGTTACACCGGATAATTCGGGCGCCCAATGTGTGCGTCCTTGGCAGCGTCCTGGCTAGCACGATAGGCTCGCGACCACGACCTGCCACCCGTCGTACCCGCCTGGGCCGTTTTGTTCTCTCATCTTTGGTGGTGCGCACCGTTGGCACCGTTGGCACTTCGGAACCGTTAGCACCTCGTCCGCTGCACTGCGTGCGTCTTAAACGGTACGGTCTTGCCGCACGTTGTCTTCTTCTGTCTTTGTGCGGTCCGTCTGGATGTGGCCGGCTAACTCTTGCATTTGCATGGCCGCAATGGCGTCTTCCACGTGCGTGCGCGCACTTTCTGTTGCATGCGATTGCCTCCACCCAGACCGCCCACCTGCTATGCCAGATGGAGAGTTGCCCCAGCGTTTTCCCGATTACGACTGGCGCTTTGCGGCGGCATCGCCACCTCGCCGCTGGAGCAACGAATGTGCGTGCCCCTGCATGTGTTGCATGCTTTGGCCGAGCCTGCACGCGCGCTCTGCTCCCGCAGCTTCCGCCAACGACGCCTGTCGAGAGTCACGACGAGCTGTGCCCAGTGCTGTCACTCGCCTGGGTGAGGTCGCCTGGCCGGCCGACGGGAGGTGCGTGCGTTTCACGCAGTGGCGAAGCGTCTTGGCTCGCTTACAGCCCCACCGAACAATGCTCCCAGAACCGTTTTTGTGATTTCCACGAAATGTTCTTAGAACATTTTTGGTTGGGACACTGTCCTGTTTTATCACATCGGTCTTATGTTCTAAGAACCTTGTTTTTGTTCTTAGAACATCTTTGGGTTCTAAGAACATTTCGTGGTAGGACTACAGGAATGCCGGGACGGTCGGTCCCTGCTCAAGCGTTGGGGATTCCGCCAATCTGTGGCCACTTCGCACGACTCTTGCTGGAGTCTGAGGCCGCCCGCACCAGGCGCGAAGTGCCAAATGCTTTGAGAGCTGTGCCTTCATTGGCCCCTCGGTCCGCTTCCCCCATTCCACTGTACCCTGGCATCGCTCGGACGTGTGCATTTTTTCTCGGCGAAGACCATCCAGGACCATCCTGGACCATCGAGTAAAAAAAAACACGCACGAAACCGAAAAATGCACGTAACATTATTCGTCGCATGTGTACATTCACGCGTTCCCACACGTGTAATGGGCAACATACATACGTGCAGCTGGCTGGGGCCGCCCTGGGAAGCCTCCAGGGCACCCAACCAGCGGAACGCGAGGAAGCGGGTGGGCGGGGAAAACAACCAGAGAGCAGCGTGCGCCGCGGCAGCGGCAGCGCCGCGAGAAGCGATGCGCACGCGCACCCCCTGACCCCGCAGGGCCCGCTGCGTCCGCGTAGCGCGACGCACGCCCCAAGGACAGACGGACACGGACGGACGGACACGGACAGACAGCCACGGACGGGCCGGGGGGAATCCGCACCCTGAACGGGCCAGGCGTGAGCAAGAACCTCCCCCCCAACTCCGCAGCTTCCGTAGGAAGCTACCGGCCATGAGCCCGACGCCCGAAGCCAGGAGGCAAGGAGGCCAAAAGGCTAAGAGTGGACAAGAATCCTACTCCTCAAATTTCACTGCCCCCCAAACCACTCGTGCCTCGTGATTTAGGGGCGACGGAAATGGACGTCCGAGCGATGGCGAGTTACGTACCACCGAGGCTTGTTCCGAATTTTCTGGCCTCCACTGCGGTGCAGCTCTCATCGCAGAATAACCCATGGGCGGGGGAGCACAGCAATATTCCGAGCGTGTTCTCCCGAAGCTGTCGCTTCCCGCCACACCTGTCATCGCTAAGTGCGCTGGCGTGTTTCCTGCAGGATGGGGTCCTTAGTGGAGGTCTCCGAGGCGGGTTGGTTTCTGTAGCTTTCCACGTCTCATCTTCGATATCTTCCGGTCCCTCCCCCCCTTCTGCTTACTCAGCGGCACAGTAACGGGTATTCACAAACGGTTATGTTGTAGATCTGCCGAGAGTGACCATCTTGGGGCCCCTTTCCGGCACTGCAGTACTGCAGCGTGGCACGAGCAGTGGAGACCCATGCCAAGGAACACCCTGCTTGCCTCCAGGGTGCCCTGGGCTTCTTGGGCCTCGATGCTTTTGTTGTGGAAGGAGTCACGTCCACACACCAAAAAAAACAGTGGACGTCCTGGGGCCTCCGGGTTAGGGTTCTTGTGGATATGCTCTCCTGTGGTCGAGCCCCGACGGCACCTGGAGGTGAGAAAGCTGTACACGAACATGTCGGAGGCCCCCGCGGGTTCCTTGAAATGGCGCTGGCCTCCCCCCCTGTCTCCCTGGCGCGCCGGGCGCGCCGCCAGGGAGGCCCCGCCCGCTGGGGGGGGGGGCAGCGCAGGGCCAACAACAGAAATCCGCAGGGGGCCTCGAAGAGCAGCCGTCTTGGCCTCGCTCGGGCGTGTGCCGTTTGTCCTCGGCGAGGGCCCCCCCGAGGAGTACCCTTGGATCGTCGAGGGCACACAGGCACGCACGGGACCGAACACATGCGCGGGACATGGGCGTCCGAGTGATGGCAAGACGTTTACGTCACAGCGCCTGAGGAGGAGGAGGAGGAGGAGGAGGAGGAGGAGGAGGAGGAGGAGCGCCTGAGGACCTCGACCTCGGAGACGAGGTCCGCGACGCGGTGCGCGGGGCGGTGGCTGCCGGGGACCTCGCGACGGCCGGGCAGCTGATGCTCGCCGCCTCGCTGGGCCCGGGCCACGCAGGCTCTGAGAGCGCCCTTGCCGTGCCTGGGCGGGAGACCCAGACCCCCGCGAGTCGCGCACAGAGTGGTGAAGGACGGCTTCTCTTGGGCGGCCTCCTCCTCCTCCTGCTCCTGCTCCTCCTCCTCCTCCTCCTCCTCCTCCTCCTTCCCTCCTTCCTCCTCCTCCTTCTCCCTCCTCTGTCCTCCTCCTCCTCTCCTCCTCCTCCTACCTACTCCTCCTCTTCCTCCTCCTCTCCTCCTCCTCCTCCCTCCTCCTCCTCCTCCTCCCCCTCCTCCTCCTCCTCCTCCTCCCCCCTCCTCTCCTCCTCCTCCTCCTCCTCCTCCTCCTCCTCCTCCTCCTCCTCCTCCTCCTCCTCCTCCTCCTCCTCCTCCCCCTCCTCCTCCTCCTCCTCCTCCTCCCGCTGCTCAGAAACCCTCCGGGTTTCCGGGGAGCCCCCCGTGGCCTCGGCGGGGTGGCCCTGGAAGTTGCCCTGAGCCCCGCGGGAAGGCCCGCCCCCGGCGCCTCCCCCCCCGGGCCCAGGCCTTTGCCGGGCCCCGGGGCAGTCGAGCGGATTTGCGGATAGAGATCGGTCCCCGGGAGGTGGGTCGAGGCCTCTGGGGGTCGACGTCGCCATGACAAGATGATGACGTCGGGAGTCGGGGAGGGCGGCATGGCCACCGCTCGCCTTCGGAGGCCCGCGGGGGTGCTCCTGCCTCGGCGCTGGGCCCCCCCCCCCGTCCTGGCGCGCCCTGCCCGCGCCGCCCCAGGCGCGCGCAGGCCCGGGCAGCGGGGTGTCAGCGCCGACCCCCCAGAGGCCCGCACGGATGCGCGAGAGATTATGCTTCTGGGCGGGGTGGCCCACAAGGGGGTCCAGCTGAAGGGGGGTGGTGCAAGTAGATGTGGGGCAGTGGCATTGCACATGTACTGCGCAGTAGAAGTGGATCGCAGGGTATTGCAAGTCATGTCTTGCACAGGAAGATGCAGCAACACGGCTGCGCCCCGAAATGCATTGCATGCCCCAAATGTATGGCAAGCCCGCAAATCTCTTGCACATAATCTACTGCACCACCCCCTTGTCGCTGGACCCCCTTTGGGGTCAACCCGAAGTTGCGCCTCCTCCTCCTCCTCCTCCTCCTCCTCCTCCTCCTCCTCCTCCTCCTCTTTGGAGGGTCCTTCCCGGCTCACACACGCGCTTGCGTCCGCCAGCGCTGCAGGCCAATGGCGGCGGGGGCTCTCCAGGACGAGCAGCGGTGTCGGTAATTATCTTCCCCCCCTCCGCCTTCGGCGCACCCGATGCTCCTGGGCGGAGAACATGTCCGTATCCGCGGCCTCGTGGGCCGGGGCCCCCGGGCCGCGACCCCGCAGACATGTTTTTTTGATCGCGAAGGCCCCGCGGGCTCGCGCCCCAGAGTCCAGACCGCGAGGGCGCGGATACGGATACATTCGCCGCTCGTTGGATCCTGCGCGCCAGGCTGGGACGAGTCCGGCGGGGGCGTCTCGGGACCTCCAGGGGGCGTCGTGGGGGCCTCTTGGGGCGTCTTGGGGGCCTCTTGGGGCGTCTTGGGGACCTCTTGGGGGAATCTTGGAGCTCTCATGGGGCCCTCTTGGGGGCCCTCTTGAGACCATCTTGGTGTACGTCGATCTCTCCCTCCTCGGCGCTTCTCTCCTGCCCGCCAGGCGAGGACGAGTCCGGCGGGGGCGGCCAGGTGTGCCCGGTGTGCCAGGACTTACCAGCCTGGAAGAGATCCCTATCCCTATGATTGGCGTTGACTCATTTTGATGCCGATCTTAAGCCGGAAACGAAAAACACACCATAAACATTAACTGTTGGCGCTTGGCGCGGATTTCTTGGATCCGCGCTGAGCCCCCCCAGCGGCGCCGCCCCTGGCGCGCTCCGCGCGCCAGGGAGGGGGGTCCAGCGCAGACCCAAGAAATCAGCGCGGAGCGCCAACAGTTTACGTTTCTGCCAGTTTTCGGGGGCGCTCCCCAAAGATCGTCATCGCCTTTGGGCTCGTCTATCTCAGGGATACTAGGATCGCCGCGGCGGCTGCTAAGGAGATAGGGGGGCTACAAGTGGATGCTAAGTTGGGTTCTATCTGGCCCAACCTGGCTTATCAGTGGGTTACACATTCCCCGAGTGGCTTGGGGGGGATAGATGACTCCGCCAAGTGGGCGGAGCCCACTTGGCCCGGATCGTGAACCCCCCCGGAGCTACTTGGGGCACGCGCAGCCTGCAGCGCCCACTTGTAAGCCATGGTGGGCCAGATACAAACCCACCTTGGCATCCCTTTTGTACCCCCCCGTATCCACTCAGCACCCCCCCGCGGCGAGGAGGAGGAGGAGGAGGAGGAGGCGGAGGAGGAGGAGGCGGAGGAGGAGGCGGAGGAGGAGGCGGAGGAGGAGGGAGGCGGGGGAGGAGGAGATCCAGGCAGGGATCGGCTCGAGGCTGGATCCAGGCAGGGATCGGCTCGAGGCTGGTTCAGGACGGCTTCCAGGGCGGCGCGGGCTCCGTCGGCTGCCTCGGGGGGCACCGCCTGCACGCGGGCTGCGCCGCGGACCTGGGGCTCTTCGGCTCGCCGTGCCCGACGTGCCGCGCGCCGCTGTTCTACCCGACCACCAAGGTTCCAGCATCCCCCCCCCTCCTCCTCCTCCTCCTCCTCCGCCTCCTCCTCCTCCTCCTCCTCCTCCTCCTCCTCCTCCTCCTCTATTCCTCCTCCTCCTCCTTCTCCCCCCCTCCTCCTCCTCCTCCTCCTCCTCCTCCTCCTCCTCCACCTCCTCCTCCTCCTCTTCATCCTCCTCCTCTCCTCCTCCTCCTTCCTCCTCCTCCTCCTCCTCCTCCTCCTCCTCCTCCTCCTCCTCCTCCTCCTCCTCCTCCTCCTCCTTCCTCCTCCTCCTCCTCCTCCTCCTCCTCCTCCTCCTCCTCCTCCTCCTTCCTTACCTCCTCCTCCTCCTCCTCTCCTCCTCCTCCTCCTCCTCCTCCTCCTCCTCCTCCTCCTCCTCTGTCCAGGAGGCCCTGGGATGAAACCACGGAGTTTCGCGTGGACTGAGGCCTAGCGGGCCCAGTGGTGCTCTCCCATGGGCACGTTCTCTGTGACGGCTCGGGCCTGGATGGGCTGTTCCGCTCCATGCGTGTTGCTGAATGGGGTGCGACCATTTTGGATGAGTCGCGCAGGTGTGCAGTTGAGCGGTAGGTCCTGTGCCCCCAGCCACCTTGCCTGATCAGGTCGCGCGGGATGGCGAGGACTGCGCAGTGTTTATGTTGTTTCGATGCTGCGCGCTGGTGATTTTACCCCCTACTCGGACTGCAAAGGAACTTCAGGCTGCTGCCCACACAGGTCCCGCGCGGTCTCCGCTTTCGACCCCCCGGGACCACGTTTGGAAGCGGCCCTCGGGAGCCTTGAGACGGGGGTCAATGCAAACGGGGGTCAGCCACGGCACCGGATCCTGCAGGATCCTGCGAAGACCCCCTTCGGCTGACCCGGGTTAGCGAGCCGTTCGTGGCCGCGAGGCGGCCGCACATATTGGCTGACCCGGGTTTGCGAAGACCTGCGTTGCAGTTTTTTTCCTGCATTGCAGTTTTTGGTTTCCTGCTGACCCGGGTCTGGTTTGACCCGGGTCAGAAGATCCCCGAAGCCCTGGGAGTCGGGAGGCCTGGAAGGGGCCAGTTTCAAGAACGTTCCTGCCCACGCCCCGGCCAAGGATGTCAGAGAAGGCCTTCTGTCAGAGTTTGGGCGCACTGGCAACCACGGTGCGGACAGGCCTGCAAAGCTAGGGGCGGCCCTGGTGCAGCATGACCCACGGGAGCTCCTGTTGGCCAAGGGCTGTCTGGCCCTCTTTCGTGCATGGCTGAAGTCCATAACGAGAGCCTGAGTGCACTACAGTGAGCCGGGTGTGTTCGACAGCCTGGGAGCGCAGGGCCTCTCGTTGTTTTCCCTGGATCTCCCCTCGGGCCACGATGCTCAGATGGCGCAGGCTCGAGCCTGGAAGGAAGAGGTCGCTTCGTTGCCCCCCCCTCCCAGCGAGGCCCCTGTGGTCCCTGACCCTGCTGCTGCCGGCTCGCTTGGGAGATCTCTCCAGGGGGCGCCCAGAGGAACTCTGCCGTGGAGGGTGGGGGGCCACTGCCTCGTAGAGTTTCCTGAGGAAGAACAAGTTCATCCTCCCCTCCTTTTCTGCTCCACCTGTGGCAACTACCCGACGTTTGCAACAAGCTCTCGGGGCCTCCCGGATTTTTGTCTTGGCTCGGCCCATTCCCGAGTTGGGCCTGGCAAGGTCAACCCGTACAGTTTTTTGCAGCTCGAGCACCCCGACAGGGCGAGAAGGCTAGGACCCGCGGGACCTCGCAGAGGGCCCTGGCGGTGGAGCTCTTCGGTCCTCGGTTCCTGGTCGGCGGTGCGGGGTCCCAGCCGAAGGCCAGGGCTGCGAGAGCCCCACGGTGTTCGGGTGTTGCCACTCTCGGTCCCTCGGACTGTCTCCAGGCTTCTGGGCTGAGTGAGGTGGGAGCTCGAGGGCTTGGCAAAGAGTTGCGGCTCCGAGACTCTGCGCCAGAGCTCGGCGGAGACCTGTCTTTTTTTTTCCCTGCGGGGGGCCCAGTCGCTGGCCCATCCCCAGGTGAGGCGGCAAAAAGGTCCTCTCCGATGGACCCCTCAGGATTCTTGGACCCGTCGGAATTCTCTCTCCCTCTCTCTCCCCTCAGTGGCGTGCCATCCTCCTCCTCCTCCTCCTCCTCCTCCTCCTCCTCGTCTGACGTTTCCAGTGGTTCTCGGGCTGTTCTCGGGCCGACTTGTCGTGGGCTCTCGGGCGTCTCTTCGTTGGCTCTCGTCTGTTGTTTTTCCAGCCTCGGGGTGCTCGCCAGGCAGTGGCTGCGTGTCTCGACGAGGGCGCTCGCCGTGTGTGTGTGTGTGGTGTGTGTGTGTGTGTGTGTGTGTGTGTGTGTGTGCGTGTGTGTGTGTGTTTGTGTGTGTGTGTGTGTGTGTGTGTGTGTGTGTTGTGTGTGTGTGTGTGTGTGTGTGTGTGGTGTGTGTGTGCGTGTGCGTGTGCGTGTGCGTGTGCGTGTGCGTGTGCGTGCGTGTGCGTGTGTGCGTGTGCGCGTGCGCGTGCGTGTGCGGTGCGCGTGCGCGTGCGTGTGCGTGCGCGTGCGCGTGCAGCGCGTGCGCGTGCGCGTGCGCGTGCGCGCGTGCGCGTGCGCGTGCGCGTGCGTGTGCGCGTGTGCGTGTGCTGTGCGTGCGTGCGTGCGTGCGTGCGTGCGTGCGTGCGTGCGTGCGTGCGTGTGTGTGGTGTGTGTGTGTGTGTGTGTGGTGTGTGTGTGTGTGTGTGTGTGTGTGTGTGTGCGTGCGGCGTGCGTGCGTGCGTGCGTGCGTGTGTGTGTGCGTGCGTGCGTGTGTGCGTGTGTGTGTGTGTGTGTTTGTGTGTGTCTGTGCGTGTGCGTGTGTGCCGGAAATCGTCCCGAGGGGCGGCCGCGGGAGGCCCGAGCCGTGGGACGAAGAGGAGGAGGAGGAGGAGGAGGAGGGAGGAGGAGGAGGAGGAGAGGAGGAGGAGGAGGAGGAGGAGGGGGGGAGGACGGAGGAGGAGGAGGGATGACGAGGAGGAAGAGGAGGAGGAGGAGGAGGAGGAGGAGGAGGAGGAGGAGGAGGAGGAGGAGGAGGAGTAGGAGGAGTAGTAGGGCGGATGAGGAGAGAGGAGGAGGAGGCGGAGGACGAGGAGAGGAGGAGGAGGAGGAGGAGGAGGAGGAGGAGGAGGAGGAGGAGGAGGAGGAGCTTGAAAAAGCCGTGCATATGGCCGCGTCGGGCACTCCAAAAAAAAACGCCGCGGGAGGTCTGTGGCCCGCTGGCGGCCGCTCTTGCTGCCTGGGGGGGCTTTCGCCGGGCCGCGGGGCCTTCGAGAAATGGCACGGGGTGCATCGAGAGCCACAGAACTCCAAACCCGTATTCACACCATGAAGACGTGGCCTCCTTGAGGTCCCCGTCTTCGCATTGGGGATGATAATTCTGGGCGGTTTGGTCTGATACATCTGCAGAAGAGACCCCCTATCCCTAATGTTCTTAGCCCTCTGACTTTGGTCCCCGCCCAAAGGGTTAGGGGTCCTTGTTTGGTGAATCAGGGGTGAGAATCCAGCCCTGGGGAAAGGGTCGGGACTTCTGGGGCCCCCGTAGGAAGAACGGAGAACTGCGCTGGCTGGAAGCCACGCCGGATGGGTCGCAGTGCAACGCCGCCCACCCTGGTCGTTGGGGGGGCAGGGGGGGCGTGGACACGTGCACACGGCAGGATGGTTTGCCAACTGTTGTCTGAGGCCTGCAGGTCGCGCGCGGGGGCGCTGGGGTGTTCGCGCTTCGCGCGTCGCGGCTCTGGGCTCAGACTGGTTGCCCTTCTCCAGAGGGGCGGCGCGAGGGCGCGAGGATAGCCGCGCGTCGTGCATTGCGGAGCGCGGCGCGCGAGGCTGGGCGACGCAGAAGGCACCGTGCACGAAGACGTCCAGAGGTCACGGGTCGGCGTGGATTTCTCCTGGGGTCGCCAGGATGCAGTGCTTGGGAGGTCAGACTCGGCATCTGGCGCTGGTACCTCCGTGGTCCAACACCGGCCCAGTGCAGCATCCTGTCGCTGAATCGGGCTTCATCCCGCCTCAGTCGGCTTAGTCCCGAGCCCAGTCTGGCCGAGAGCACCCCTCATCGTCAAGCAGTGGCGAAGCGTCCTGGCTCCCCTACAGCCCTACCAAACAATGTTCTAAGAACCTTTTGTGGTGTCCACAATGGGATTAGAACATATCTGGCGGAGTCTGTCTTGTTTTAGCACGTCGGGTTTTTGTTCTACGCACACTGTTTTTGTTTTTAGAACACTGTTGGGTTCCAAGAACATGTCGTGGTATGACTGTAGGAATGCCGGGACGGTCGGTCCCTGCTCAACATCGGGCCTAGTAGCCCCTAGTCGTGCTTACGAAGACCTTCCAGGAGTTGTCTCCTGAGGGTCGGCGCTGGACGACCCCTCCGATCGGCGCTTCGGGTGCCGTCCCCCGGCGCGCTTCGCGGAGGGCCTCGGCGCCCCACCCAGGAAGAGACCCGCGGGGCCCCGACAGCTCATGTGATCAAACGTGGGTTGCCACTCCAGACCCAGAGATCCGAGATCCTGATGTTTTCAGTGCAGCGTGTTTCTTTCCTGCTTGGGCCACGACGCGCGTCATGGCCCCCCCGCCCCCCCCCCAATAGTGTAACGCTCCAGCTGCCAGTGCCAGGGGCACGTGGGGCACCACGCCAGCGACGACGACAAGGATGGAGGAGGGAGATAAGGAGCATACCTGTCTTAAGCCACGTGGAGGCAACGACGCCTTCGCAGTTATGTGCTCGCCACAACTCCTCGTCGCCCTTCGTTGTCGGTCGTCGTCGTCGTCGTCGTCGTCGTCGCCGCTCGTCGTTGTCCGTCGTCGTCGTCGTGGTCGCTCTTCGCCGTCGTCGTCGTAGTCGTCATCTTCGTCGTCGTCGTCGTCGTCGTCGTTGTCGTCGGTCGTCATCGCTCGTGGTCGCCCGTCGCTGTCAAACGCCTTCGGATTCTTTTGAGGGCCTCTGGAGGCCTTCGGATGACCTCCGGAAGGTCTCCCGAGGCTTCTAGAGGCCTCAGGATGCTTCCAGAGGCCTCGGGAAACGTCCGGAGACCACCGGAGGCGTCGCTCATCGTCGTCGCCGTCGCCGTCGCCGTCGTTCGACGTCTTTCGTTCGTCGTGGACGTCGTCGTCGTCGTCGACTTGGTCGCTCGTCGTCGTCGTTGTCGTCGTCGTCGTTGTCGTCGTTCGTCGTCGTCGTCGTCGTCGTCGTCGTCGTCGTCGTCGTCGTCGTCGTTGTCGTCGTCGTCGTTGTCGCGGTCCCTTGTCGTCGTCGTCGTCTACGTGGGCGCTCGTCGTCGCCGTCGTCGTCGTCGTCCGTCGTCCGTCGTCCGTCGTCGTCGTCGTCGTCGTCGTCGTCGTCGTTGTCGCGGTCTCTTGTCGTCGTCGTCGTCGTTGTCGTCGTCGTGGTCGCTCTTCGTCGTCGTCGTCGTCGTCGCTCGACTCGTCGTCGTCGTGCGCGCGGACGCTGTGGTGGCGCCGGAGCCGCACGTCGGGGGGTGGGCGTTCCGTTATACCTCCCCCTCGGCCCCAACCCCATAACGCACGCTATCGCCGCTCATCGCCAGCGAGGGCCCCTGGAGGCCGAACGCGACGGAAAGCCTCCGCCTTGATTGTTTGCCAGGCCGTTGAATGCCCTGGGAGGTGACCACGAAGCACGTCCTGGAGCACAAGGCGCGCCAGTTTTCCACGTTCAGCGCCGGTGACCACGTCCTGATCACGGGGGACGCGGACCTGGCCGCGCGGAGGCAGGGGGCGCACCCGCTGCTCGGGGGCTGGCACGAGGACATGGCCCCGTGCTGCGGGCGGGAGGCGGAGGTCGTCCAGGTGCTCGACCCCGTAGCCACGGAGGAATCGAAGCAGATGAATCAGAGGAGGGATCGACACCATCATCGAGCACAAAAGAAGCCCTAATCCTAATAACGCCATGAAGACGTGGCCTCACTGAGGTTCCCGTCTTCGCATTCGGGGTCATAATTCTGGGCGGTTTGACTGGAGCTGCGTTTTGGGTGACCGAAAAGAGGCTCCAGCTGGAAGGGGGTGGTGCAATAGATGTGGGGCAGGTGTATCGCAAATGTAATTATTGCGCTGGAGAAGTGGATTGCATTGTACTGCAAGTAATGTACTGCACGCGAACATGCAGCAGTACATGTGCGCCCCGAAATGTGTTATTGCACGCCCCAAATGTCTTGCAAAAATCTATGGCGCAAGATCTATCGCACCAGCCCCATGTCGCTGGACACCCTTTTGGGCCAGCCCGAGGCGCCCAGGCTCTGAGAGCCGCGCTCCGCACCCCCTCGGGCCAGCAGCGTCCGCGGCCAGCCCGCGCAGGGCCCGCGGGCGAGCTCACCGGGTGCAGTGCCCTCAAGCAGTGGCGTCGCGGCCTGGCTTTTGGGGGTGTCTCCGAAGGGCTTAGGCGACCCGTCCTCCTCCTCCTCCTCCTCCTCCTCTCCTCCTCCGCCTTCCTCCTCCTCCTCCTCCTCCTCCTCCTCCTCCTCCTCCTCCTCCCTCCTCCTCCTCCTCCTCATCCTCCTCCTCCTCCTCCTCCTCCTCCTCCTCCTCCTCCTCCTCCTCCTCCTCCTCCTCTCCTCCTCCTCCTCCTCCGCCTCTCTCCTCCTCCTCCTCCTCCCTCCTCCTCCTCCTCCTCCTCCTCCTCCTTCTCCTCCTCCTCCTCCCTCCTCCTCTTTCTCCTCCCTTTCCTCCACCTCCTCCTCCTCGCCCTCCTCCTCCTCGCCATGCCCTCCTCGGGTCGCCTACGGCCCCGGGGGAAACTGTCCACCTGGCTTTCCTATACCAGGATCGCCGCGGGGGTTGCTAAGTGGACAGGGGGGTTACAAGTGGATGCTAAGGTGAGTTATATCTGGCCCAACCTGGCTTATAAGTGTGCGACCAATTTCCCAAATTTATTTGGGGGGTTACAAGTGGATGCTAAGGTGGGTCATACCTGGCCGAACCTGGCTTATCAGTAAGTTACAAATTTCCCCGAGTGGCTTAGGGGGGTTCGATGACTCCGCTCAGTGGGCGGAGTCCACTTAGCCCGGATCATCAACCCCCCGAATATGTGTGGGGCATGGGTAGCCCACATGTAAGCCAGGCTGGGCCAGACATAACCCAACTTGGCATCCACTTGTGGCCCTCCCCTCCACTTGGCCCCCCCCGCGGCGATCCCAATAGCCTGGGCCTCCCAGATGGGGCCCGAATAGATGTGGTCGGAGAATCGCGCCGCATCGCCGATGCATCGACGATGCGGCTCGATGTGGAGCCCAATTTTCCCCACGCCGGCGTCTCTGATGCATCGCCCACGTCGCCACTGCATCGCCGATGCATCACCGATACCTCGGCCTTGCATTGGCGATGCGGCGCGATCCTTCGGCCGCATCTACTCGGACCCAAATAGGAGGCCTCTGCTTAGGCCCACCAAACAGTGTTCCAAGAACCTTTTGTGGGTTCTACGGAATGTTCTTGTAACATTTCTGGCTGGGGCTGTTTTGTCTGATCGTACATGGGCTTCATGCTCTAATACCCTTGTGCTTGTTCTTAGAACACGCTTGGTTCTAAGGGCATGTCGGGGTAGGCCTATAGGAATGCCGGGAAGGTCGGTCCCTGCTCAGCAGAGATCCCCAGATCTCCGACGACATGATTTTTCCAATCCGAGCGAACCCATTTCATTTCGGCCTCCAGGGCCCGATGTTGGGCCCTGGGACCATCAGAAAGGGATCCAGAGTGCAAACTGCCCCTGGGGAAGGGGTCGGGACCTGGGGGCCCGCGGGTTGAAACAACAACATGTCGGAGGACATCAGGATCCGAGGCCCCGCTAATCTTGGAGCGGCTGCTTCTTGGCCATGTTCGATCTCTGGCGGCCCTCTCGGGACCGTCAACAAGAACGGCTCGGGGTAACAAACCGGGCCTGGGGAAGGGGTCCAGGCCTCCGGGGTTTCACGCATCGAAGAAGTTTGAGCGCCGGGTGCCTGGGGCCGCGATTCCGATCCGATTTGACGCGGACCGCTCGTCACAGCAGATCTGGGCCTCTCTTCTTCCCAGGAGGGCGCCGTCCAGCCGGTCCTGGTGCGCCGCCTGCCGCTGGGGCCCGTCGCGGCCCCAGAGGAGGTGGCGGGTCAGCCTGCGTGGCGCCTGCACCCCGCGCTGGTCACGCTGATCCTGAGGTCCGAGGACTTGGCATCGCTCGTCCGTGTGCATTTTTCTCCTTCACCTCCTCCTCGACCTCCACCTCCCCCTCCGCCTCCTCCGCCACCTCCACCTCCAACACCTCCTCGTCCTCCTCCTCCTCCTCCTCCTCCTCCTCCTCCTCCTCCTCCTCCTCCTCCTCCTCCTCCTCCCCTCCTCCTCCTCCTCCTCCTCTCCTCCTCCTCCTCCTCCTCCTCCTCCTCCTCCTCTCCCCCCCCCCCCCCTCCACTGCTCCCCACGTCCCTCCTCCTCCTCCTCCTCCTCCTCCTCCTCCTCCTCCTCCTCCTCCTCCTCCTCCTCCTCCTCCTCCCCTCCCTCACCCTCCTCCTCCTCCTCCTCCTCCTCCTCCTCCTCCTCCTCCTCCTCCTCCTCCTCCTCCTCCTCCTCCTCGTTGAGGACGGCGCGCTGCCATTCCCATCGTTCGGCGACGACGACTCCTCCCCCTCGTCCTCCTCCTTTTCCTCCTGCGGTCTGAAGGGGGCCCGCGCCACTTCACAGTATGCAGAACCGAAAAGAGGTCATGTCGTGTCTCCTCGCCGCGTCTGTGTGCTCAGCGGAGCGACAGGGGCGCGCAAGTGTTGTCGCACACCACCCCAACGACGCCACCCGCTCCCGCATGTAAGTTGATGTGGGAGGTGGATACCGACCATCACCAGATGGGTCTCAATTCGTTTTTTCTCACAGGGGGAGGGAGAAGTTGGACCCTTCGGTCTCAGGGAGGAGCAGAGAATGTCAGCCATGCGGGTTCCCCCAGCACTCACAGCGCATGATATTTGTCTGGTCAGTTCCACAAGGGACACGGGCTACACTCTCGTGTCGTCCAGTGGTTCGACTTGTACGGTCGATTGCATCGGGCTAACCTCAGTATTGCTGCTATGTATGTGTTGTCGGGTGCACAACGCTCAAGATGAGCATGGGGAGGCTGCAACCGCATATATGGGGTAGAGCATGGGACCACTTGCCACTTGGAGCGTGTTTCACGTGGACGAACACCCGAGTCCTTTTTTTCCCGCAGGCGCCCAACGTAGAAACGATAGAACCGTCGGCGGCCACTGCATCTCTACAGCGTGGGCGCAGGAGAACCGAGTTCATCAAGGTAGTCCAGGGTATCATCTTCAGCAAGGCGGCGTGGCCGTGGCCACGGTGGCGAAAGAATTGTTGGGCGCGGTGGCAGCAGGCGCACGGGAAAAATGCTCGCAGAAGAAAGATTACACGGAGAGTAATACGGAGTACGCAAAAGAGCTGGAACATATGGCTCGCACAAGAGAGAATTCTGCGTGAACGGTTACCATGGGCATCGTCGCAGGAGGACGATGGCAATCAGTTGTTGCTCACGGCTCGCATCTGTAACATACGCATGTGGCTGCGGCAACACAGTTTAGCATCGGCAGCGGGTGCGGGAAGATCGGGTGACAGCGTGTGAAGAGGCCCGAACTGCAAGCATTTGTACGAAACGAGCCGCTTGGCAAGGCTGTCAGCATGCAAAGGAAGGTGACCGCTGAAAAGGCAGCAGCCCACGACCAGTCACAGTTGAGCGGACAGGAAGAAGGCATATTGAGGAAGCGCAGGGTGGTGTCTCAGAGCGAGTCATCAAGTACGACGAGATGGCCCAAAGCATGAAAGAAGTACCTGCGCAGTTTCAAGACGTAAATGCGGTGGCATTACAAGAGGGCGTTGCTTTTTTTTCAAGAACGTAACATGCAGCTGTGATTATGGAGAGCGGCATCCCTGGCAAGTGTAAGCGCAGGTTTTCTTAGAGCAGCTATGTTTCCCAAGTGGGTGGGCGAGGGGAGGTCGCAACCTTGCTTCAGCGTGGGCTACGGGCAGGAGAGGGAGACGTTTGCCACGCGACTTGTTTTGTTTCGTGGTGTCGTGCTCGATGAAGGGCATCAAGGAGAGGGGCAGGCTCCCACTGTCGTGGATGTGCCCAGGTGCTTGCAGAACTGGAAAGGGCAACCACGAGAGGGCATCGACGGGGAGAGGCTTGTGATGTTGGTTGGCACGGTGCCGAAGGCTTACCACAGCATGTGATTGGCTCGTGGATCTGTCTTTGGATTCGATTCTTGGGTCCACGGCCGCCCGCGAGGGCGGCGCAGGGAGGCAGCAGTGGCAGTGCAGCAGGCGTTCTCATGGCGGGAGCAAAGGGGGGGCGAGTCGAACGTAAAGAGGCTCCACGACGCCACCGACGCCTTCTACAGCATTGACCACTACTGCTTGGCCGCGGAAATTGAGCAAGCCGACAGAGAGAACGATAAGGACATCATGAAGTTCAAAGTTGCACTAGCACGTCTCCTTTACCGGGCGCCGTTTCTGGCAACGGAACGTGGACGCAGCAAGGGTACCTGCCAGGAGACCCTGCAATTGTAAGATTGTCCCTTGGGGCACATCCGAGCCAGATGGGAATGCGCTCGGCCAGCACAAGCAACCACGAGCAGTCCAGTTGCTTGCTCCCGTGAACAATAGAGTGGACTCCTGCAGCTTTTACGCCCCCCCCCCCCCCCCCCGGGATGATGCGACGGACAACTGGATCAGATCTTCGACTCGTCGATATCAGTTCGTCATTGTCAGAAACAACTAATTTCAAACAGATGAGAGAAGGAGCGGCAGTGAATCGGAACTGGCAAGCAGGAAAATCTACTCCATCGATGTAGACAGAACTCAGCTCACCCTGATGTCGAGTTCTTGCCATAACAAAGATTGGAATGACAAAAAGATAGCGCGCGCGGTATCTTGGACCGAACATGCATGACGGGCTCGTTCTCCGCGAGATCGAGTTCCGCCTGGCGGCGCAGCGGGCGACCCCGCACAAACGCCGCGGCCTCCGGACAAGAAGAGAGTCTCACCCGGCTGGAAGGTCAATGTGCTGAAGGACTGTTTGGCGAACGCCTGCCTCTGCGGGGCGCTGCGCTCTGCGCGAAGCTGGGCCCGACGAGAGCCCGGGAGTGGCAACCTGCACTCGGCCCCCTCGCAGTGCGCGCGCGGGCGCCGCGTGCGAGGTGTTGCCAGTGAACTAGGAGATGGATCCACTCGCGCCCTCGCCAACCTCCAGGTCCTCGCCAGGGTTCGCCTAGCCCCGCACGTTGCGACGCGCGTTCCTAGGTTTCGCTGGCTTCGGCAGTGTCTCAGGCAGCCATCGCGGTTAATGCAGTGTTGGGCGGTGGTCGTTTGGGCGCTTGCGGGGCGCGAGCCAGACAGAAACGCAGGGGAATCTGAGCGGCGACGAGGGGGCGACTCCGCGGTGCGACCAGTTTGAAGATCACGTTCGAGCGATCGAGCAGTTCGACGACGGGGCCCGGCTGATCAAGACGCGCGGGGCGGAGGGCGCGCCGGTCGACGCGGGGGGCGGAGTTTTTCCAGCTGGGCGTTGGGGGATCTAGGGCGCACCACTCCCGCAACACATGGCCTCGCGAGCGCGAGCATGATGGGCTGGGCAGAGGAAAGCCTTATACATGCACGGCACCAAAATGCGACTGCGACTTGTGCAGTCAGACGTTCCAGAGCAAGAAGCAGTTCGCAGCACGCTACCTGCGCGACTTAGGAGTGTCGGGGGCTCGTCGGCTCCCGGAGCCTGGCGGAAAGCAACTTATCGGGATGACGTCATGCAGATTAGTCGGCGTTGGTAGATGGTTCGAATTGCTCGTCCGTTGACAGCGCCCGAAGGCGCGCGCAACAGTCTGCTGCAACGTACTTGCCACTGAGATAGGGGGCGCACGCATGGCGCGATCGTCCAGCCACGTCGTGCGAGCGTCCTAGTGCTGGGCCACCGGCAACGGCGACCTCCGTGGGCATGTTTTGGCTGACCAGGCTCATCCGCTTTCGCGCGAACGCTGACTTGAGTATGAGCTGCCAGGTCTCCAGGCGGCCATCGACCACTCTGGCGGAATGGCCGATGCCGAGCGCGTCCAAGAGGGGGCTGGAGCAGTCAGAGGCAGCGTCGTCTCAGGACGGGAGGGGCACGCGGGCAGATGGCGCGGTCGAGGGCGAGGGCTGGCGCGCCAACGCGAAGTCGCTTCGCCAGCTGGAGTCGAGGATTCGAGCACTGGGGTTTGGACCGGGCCTGTCGGCGCCATGGCCGAGCGACGCGGGCCCAGGCGACGGCGCTCAGAACGGCGCGCGCCGAACGCCAGAAGAAGCGGGGGGCAAGGCGAATACGAGCGGACTGAGGCTTCCAAATTTGCAGAGTTTCGCCGCACTTCTGAGCGCATCCAGCGCTTGGCTCGGCATGCAGGGCGCGGCGCAGCACCCAGCGAGGCATCTCGGGAATCTGCCCGACAGGCTGCCGCGCATGATGGGGAAAGGCGACGCGCAGATGGCCAGCGCATGGATCAAGGGGCGCGCGACGTCCAACGCCCAGGACACCGACATCTCGAGGAGTCTGGTCAGGGTCCTGGGCTCTATCGCGCTGGGCGACCCGCTCGTCCCCCAGGCCAAGGTTGCGGGGCAAGAGGAGCTGTGGACCATCTTGGTAGACACAGCGGCCGAGCAGGAGGAAATGGACAAGGACGCCGCCCGCGTGGTCCGCTCGCCCATTGAGTTTGCAATCGGGCCAGGGATTGTGAAAGTCGCTGCAGCATAGCAGTGTGTTTCTCAGCTTTGCAGGGCCTTTAGTTCAACGACAAGCCAGGCTGGGGAAAGTTTGTTAGGCAGATCGCGCTTGCGAAATAGATTTTGCGCTGTGCGAAGAGAAGGGCCACAGCCCGAAGTGTGCTTCAGGGCAGTGGGGGGCCTATGTGTCCACGCCGCCATGGAGTAACTCGGGAGGGCCCGTCTCTCTACTCAGAGTGTCTGCCGCGCGCGGGGTGGGTCAGCGGAGCGTTGAACATCGCCCTGCCGCCCTTAGCACCACCCCCCCGTCTCCTGCGCTTTATCGGCGCCATGAGAGCGTGGGTACTCAAAATGTTGGCAAGCCGGGCGACACTAGCCGAGGCCCAGATCATTTTGCAGTCTCAGGCATAATGCGTGAAGCTCGACTAGGGGAGACAGGCAGACTCCTTTTCCTCCTCCTCCTCGTCCTCGTCCTCCTCCTCCTCCTCCTCCTTTTCCTCCTCCCTGCCTTCGCCCTCCACCTCTTCCTGCTCCTCCTCCTCCTCCTGCTCCTCCTCCTCCTCCACCTCTTTCTCTTCCTCCCTTTCCTGCCACACTGCGCCCTGCTGATGGTCGACGGGGCATTTTTCTCGTCATCTTGGATCCCCAGACCCCCCACATCACGTGTTGTTCATGACCTCGACCCCGAGAGGTCTGGACCCCCGGGACCGGCTCTTCATCCTGACTCGTTTTTGTTTAAAAAAGAACGGACCCGAAGTGAGGGCCCCGAGGGGTCGGAAATGAGGAGAAACCTCCCGTCGTGACGTTTTCATGGCCCGAGGGGGTCTGGAATTACCGATGGCACACATCCACGAAACCAGACGCTGTGCGGGAAACGGGCCCGAGCGCCCAGCACGAGGACGTGCCCGGCGCGGCCCGCGGCGCGGAGGCGGCCGCCGTCGACAGCGACAGCATCGGCCGCAAGCAGGTGGCCCGCCTCAGGCCGGGGACGGGAACACGGCCAGGATGCGGGCAATACTTATATCCATATCCAGAGCGTCTTGGAATGTTCGGGAAGGGGTGCCGCAAGGCCGAGTCGCACTGGATATGGATAAAAATCGAGCCTTTGGGGGCCAGATGTTTATCCATATCCAGTGCGCCTACAGTTTCTAGGGAAGGTAGCCCAAAACTCCAAGACTCACTGGATGTGGATGTAACTATTGCCCGCACAGGACACTAGGACCCCGTCGGGCCATGAGAGCAACAAATCACGACGAGAGGTGCTTCCTCGAGGCGTCTCGGGGCCCTTGCCGCGCCTCGGGGCAGTCAGAGATCGCTTCAGGATGAAGAGCCGGTCCCGGGGAAAGGGCCCGGGCCTCTCGGGAGCCGACGCCGTGTGAAAACGCTCACGATGTCGGGGGTGTGGGCCCGCCACCGCCACGGGGCCCCCTGCGATCCGAGGGATCCGGTTCGATGCCGATCCTGGCCTGCGCGATCCGCCTTCGGTTCGGTGCTGATCTCCCGAGGATCCGAGGCGACCCGCTGCTCGCATGGCGCTGGTGTGTACAGTGGCGCAGAGCAACCCGACTCGAGTTCGAGTCCGTGCCGTTGCGGCCCGATCGGATGCCCCTCCCGATTCGATCCGGCGTGCCGATTCGAGCCGGCGGATGCTGCCGCTGCCGCGCGCGCGGCATAGCGGGCTTTCTAGTCGGGGTCGGTTCGCGAGCCGGAGACTTTTGCCACAGTGGTGTGTTTGTGTGTGTGTGTGTGTGTTTGTGTGTGTGCATCGATCGATCCGAATCACACTTCGACGGGTTGGGATCACACGCGACACTTCGATCGATTGGACTTGATCGAGTGGACAAACGCCCACGGGGGCGACACCTCGATATCGAGCATGTGCACCGTGGCCGACGCTTCGATCGCTTGGGCCCACGCGCGGGGGTGCCATGGTCGACGCATTGTCAGAGCCCCGAATCATCAGGGGTAACTCGGTCGGAGGCCTAGAGGTTGACACCAACACCAACATCGGCGTTGTGCCTCCACCGAGGGAAGAATATCCCAATCTCGGTGATGGTGGTAATATTCTGGCTTCCTAGGCGGCCGAAAGATTACCACCAACACCGAATTCTAGAATCATCCTCCCCTGGTGGAGGCAACCCCCTGTGTTGGTGATGGTGTCAATTTCCAAGCCTCCAACTCGGGTCAGGATTAACTCGGGTTCGTTTTCCGGGAATCCGAACCCGAGTTATACCCCGGACCCGAGTGACCCCGGTAATTCGGGCGTCCAGAGCCCCACATCATCAGGGGTAACTCGGGTCAGGGCTAACTCGGGTTCCTTTTCCGGGAATCCGAACCCGAGTTATACCCCGGACCCGAGTGACCCCGGTAATTCGGGCGTCCAGAGCCCCACACCATCAGGGGTAACTCGGGTCAGGGCTAACTCGGGTTCCTTTTTTCCCAACCATCCTGTGGTGTTGGGTCCTCGTTTTGAAGAGACGTCGCCCCGCGTTCCTCCTTCCTCATCCTTCCTCCTCCTCCCCTTCCTCCCCCCTCCTCCCCCTCCCACACCCATTCTGGCACACCCCTCACACGTTTCGTGGCCCCATAGGGAGCTCCACCGAAGGCCCCAGTGGCTGCGCCCGCATGCGGTTCCACCCCCCATTCTGGCACACCCCTCACACGTTTCGTGGCCCCATAGGGAGCTCCACCGAAGGCCCCAGTGGCTGCGCCCGCATGCGGTTCCACCCCCCATTCTGGCACACCCCTCACACGTTTCGTGGCCCCACACCGTATGCGGGCAGTTTCGTGGCCCCATAGGGAGCTCCACCGAAGGCCCCAGTGGCTGCGCCCGCATGCGGTTCCACCCCCCATTCTGGCACACCCCTCACACGTTTCGTGGCCCCATAGGGAGCTCCACCGAAGGCCCCAGTGGCTGCGCCCGCATGCGGTTCCACCCCCCATTCTGGCACACCCCTCACACGTTTCGTGGCCCCATAGGGAGCTCCACCGAAGGCCCCAGTGGCTGCGCCCGCATGCGGTTCCACCCCCCATTCTGGCACACCCCTCACACGTTTCGTGGCCCCATAGGGAGCTCCACCGAAGGCCCCAGTGGCTGCGCCCGCATGCGGTTCCACCCCCCATTCTGGCACACCCCTCACACGTTTCGTGGCCCCATAGGGAGCTCCACCGAAGGCCCCAGTGGCTGCGCCCGCATGCGGTTCCACCCCCCATTCTGGCACACCCCTCACACGTTTCGTGGCCCATAGGGAGCTCCACCGAAGGCCCCAGTGGCTGCTGCGCGGCCGCATGCGGTTCCACCCAGGGGGAACCGCATGCGGCGCAGCCACTGGGGCCTTCGGTGGAGCTCCCTATGGGGCCACGAAGCGTGTGAGGGGTGTGCCAGAATGGGGGGTGGAACCGCATGCGGGCGCAGCCACTGGGGCCTTCGGTGGAGCTCCCTATGGGGCCACGAAACGTGTGAGGGGTGTGCCAGAATGGGGGGTGGAACCGCATGCGGGCGCCACTGGGGCCTTCGGTGGAGCTCCCTATGGGGCCACGTGTGCCAGAATGGGGGGTGGAACCGCATGCGGGCGCAGCCACTGGGGCCTTCGGTGGAGCTCCCTATGGGGCCACGAAACGTGTGAGGGGTGTGCCAGAATGGGGGGTGGAACCGCATGCGGGCGCAGCCACTGGGGCCTTCGGTGGAGCTCCCTATGGGGCCACGAAACGTGTGAGGGGTGTGCCAGAATGGGGGTGGAACCGCATGCGGGCGCAGCCACTGGGCCCTTCGGTGGAGCTCCCTATGGGGCCACGAAACGTGTGAGGGGTGTGCCAGAATGGGTGTGGGAGGGGAGGAGGGGGGAGGAGGGAGGGAGGAAGGAGGCGGGAACGCGGGGCGACGTCTCTTCAAAACGAGGACCCAACACCACAGGATGGTTGGGAAAGGGGAGGAGGAGGAAGGAGGAAGGAACGCGGGGCGACGTCTCTTCAAAACGAGGACCCAACACCACAGGATGGTTGGGAAATATAGGAAACTATGGGAAGTGGGGGGGAAGACAGAAACCCAGAAAATATCGGAAAATATGGGAATCTTTTTATTTGTGTGTATTTATTTGTGTGTCCTGGGGCCCCTTCAGTTACCCCGTACCCGAGTTACCCCGGATATCTCGGGCGCCCAACTTTTTTTTTGGGGGGGGGGCGTGCCGAGCTCGGCCAGCTGTGCCTGCGGCCCCCTCGAGGGGGCCCACGGGCGAGCACCGCCAGCGTCGAGGATGCAGGCCCCTCTGCGCGCATGTGCAGCCTTCCGGCCGCGCGCCGAGGGGGGGTGGTCTTGAGTCGGGCATGTCCCTCCACAGGAGGAGTGTTGAAAAATAGTCCACAAATCGTCTGGGGACGAAGTTTCTACCATTTCTGCGTACTTTGGGATCTGTTAGACTCTTTTTTATTTTTCTTCCAAAATCTGCCTGTAGGAGGGCATGCCCGACCCAAGGTTAGTCAGAGGCCATCGGCATCTGTACACGTACGCGGTTAGCTTCCGCTGGAGTGCGTTCGAACTCGGAGGTTCGTGCACGCAAGACCGCGGAGGGCGTACAGTTTTACCTATGCCGGTGCTCGCTCAGTTCGGGGGGAGGGGGGGAAGGCTTCTTAGCAGCACCCCCGCATCACTCAGAAGGCGCGGGCCTTCCGTGCTGATGTAAGGCCGGCGCCTTCTGAGAGGCAGGCGCCCTCTAAGAAGCCCTCCCCCTTCCCCCATGCCCCCCCTCGTGCGCGCCGCCAAAATATGCGGAGTCTGCGCACCTCGGCGCGCATGCGCGCGGCACGCCCACCAGGGACGAGCTGGCCGTGGTGCAGAAGGCCCGCGAGGACGTTCGCGTGGAGATGCTGCAGGCGCCTTTCGCTGCTGCTAACAAGTCGCCACGGTGAAGACGGGTCCCGCAGGTTAAACGGGCCCCGAGGTCCCAGGCCTCCTTAGCGCAGTGATGAGCAAGCACTTCAGTATACGGAGGGGTTTGTCGCAGCCTCTGGCCGCCCAGAGACCTCACCGGGCCCCGGGGCCGTCAGCGATTTGCAAATAGGAGGCAAGCCCGGTCCTGGGAAAAGGGTGGGGACGGTGTGGGGCCCCCTCGCTGATAAGAAGTGTAAGGAATACATGGGAACTCTTGGCTTTTCTGCGCTTCTTTTTTTTTTTCCTCTACAGGCCAGTCGCAAGCAGCTATGGCCGAGTTCACCCTCCTCTGGGGTGGCCAGGCGGGCCTCGGCGTGCCGTGTGGGATCCGAGGGCAGCGCCGCGTGGCGAGTGGCCCCTCACAGGCCCACAGCATGCCGCCCGAGGGCGGCAGTGGGCCAGGACGGGCCTAGTCAGAGTCTCCTGAGCTCGCAAGTAGACGCGACTGTCTGGCCTCGCTCGTTTGTGGGCGAGGAACACGTGCTGCAGCTCAGGTGGGGAAGGCGAAGAGGCCCTTGCCCTTGGCCTTGCCCTCGAACTTGCCCTTGTTCCTGCCCGCGCCCATGCCGTTCAGCGAGGCGTCAGGCAGCTTCTCGTGGGCGTATGAGATGCGCTTCGTGGCAGACGAGTCGTACTCCGAGGTCGTGAGCACGCGATCGGTGTCCGCCATGCGCTCCAACTTGACGGTGTCGATGTGGTGCATGTTGGGCTTAAGGTGCCAACACACTCGGTCACCGGCGTCGTCTGTCACGTTGACGTTCTTGGTGGCCCCCTTGCGGGACCGAGTGTTGTCCAGGAAGATCTCGCTGATGTCTGTGATGCACTGCGTGTCCGCGGCGCTGCTCGTGGGGCCGCGCTCCGCGCGTTCTCCCACGATCGGGGCCGCGCGACGCGCGTTCTCCCGCAGCGAGTGGCTGTCGCCGTCCGTCTGCGCGTCGCCGCCATCGTCGTCGGACTTGTTGCCCGCAACGCCCGAGGAGACCTCAACCTTGTCGCCCAGCGCCTCCTTCATGAGCTTCATGAGTGGCTCGAACTCCGCGTTCTCCGCCGTGGCAAACCGGCCGTGCTCCGAGTTGTTGAGCACGCAGTTGAAGTCCGCCTTGATCTCCGGGAAGCCGATCGGCTCCTCGAGCTTCGTGATCTCCGAGATCATGATCTCGCCCTGGCCGCTCACGACGTCGTTCTTGGTGTGCCCCTTGTGGAACTGCGTGTTCTCCACGCCGTGGGTGTCCGCCTTGCACGAGGAGCTGTCGATCCAATCGCGCAGGCGCGTGACAACTGCCTCCGCTGAGCCAGGATGACGAAGCAGAGACGCCGCTGCGTCGAGCTCCCGAACTGCACGATGCAGGTGACCAGGAACTCGAACACCGAGCCCGCGAAAGTGCTGGAGGCCCTTCGCGACGGTGGGCGCATGCATGAGCTCGGCCAGCTGGATGCCAGCGAGAACGATCGACTGGCCCTCGACGCACGCCGCATCAGGACCAGGCCGGGCGCGCACCGCTTGGAGCTCCGCCATGAGCTGCACGGCCTCGGCGACCGTGGAGACATGCGCGAGGGTGCACCCGTGGCGCACCGTGAGGCCGCCCCTGCAACCGCGGCCCATGGCGAGATGCAGCGAGGAGCGACAGGGCAATGCGCAAGAGATGCCAAGGGGCGGGCCCTCGGACAAACCGCTTGAGCCAAAATGGCTACGGACTTTTCTGCGCTTCTGTGCCCGCCCGGTCCCCGTGTACGGGCCCCGGGGATGCCGAGACTCACCCGGGACGAACAGCCTGTCCTGGGGGAGGGGCCTGAGGGGCCTTTGGGTCCAGGACCCGTCTTCCTCGGAGCCCCGCGGGCTTCCCAGCCCATATTGCACGAGGATGGGGGAGGCACGGGAAGGGGGGGGCGTCCTTGACGGCAGGGGCCTCTCTTTTGGCAAGGGGCGGGGGCTTCGGAGGAACCCGTAAAAGAACAGCGACGGAACCAGTGAACAAACGGCGTCGGAACCGGCAAAAAAACGGCAAAACGGAACCGGTAAGAAAACGGCCTTGTCGTTTCCAGGGCCCATGAAGGTCCGGGGAAGTGGTACCTGTGGTCCGGGGGGGGGATACCAGTATCTAGTCCAGGTGGGGTACCTGTAGTCCGAGGGGTGGGGGTACCTGCAGTCTGCGGGGGAACCCGTGTTCACGCGTCAGCGCACGCGTGGGTGTAGTCCTTGGGGGGGGTGCCTGTAGTCTGGAGGAGGGGTACCTGTAGTCCAGGGCCAGGGTACCTGTAGTTCGGGGTAGGGGTACCTGTAGCCCCGGGAGGGGTACCTGGAGTCTGGGGGAGGGGTACCTGCAGTCCGAGGTGGTACCTGTAGTCCGGGGACCCAGAACTATTGAGGGACACAGAGTACTAAGCAGCCCCGTTCCTTCTCAGCCCCCTTCGACCCTCCCTCTTGTGCGCGCGGCCGAGCAGGCGCTCGGCGTGGCTGATGCAGGCGCAAGCGTCGGAGGAGGCCCAGTTGAGCCAATGCCGGCCTGCCCGCCTGGCCCAGGTGCATTCGAAATCGGTGCCCAGACCCCTCCCGGCCATCCTGGCCCGTTTTCGAGGAGTCACCGAGCGCATGCTCCGTGCCGCTACTCGCAAAAGTGTCTACTCGCAAGCGTCCGAAAACAAAACATGTCTTCTGTGTCATGGATCGTAAATCCCCCGCGGTGGATCCAGGCCATTTGCGAGCAGTTACTCCAGGCCTCTTATTCAGATGGCCCGGGGGCCCGACAATGGGCCCCTGAGGCCGACATCGATGCGGGGCCAAAAAGTATACACCACCACCGCCTCCCTCTTCCCCTCCCTCTCCCAGGAAGGAGGAGAGGACGAGGGCGGAGGAGGGAGGGGGAATGGAGATGGTGGTGGTGGTGGTGTATATTCTTGGGGCCCGCAATCGAGGAGCATCGCTTGGACTGAAAAACCGTGCCGTCGTCGTCGGAGATATCGGCGTTCTCGACCGGCCCTCCTCCGCTGAGCGCGCCCTCGGCGCCTCCGGCGCCGCTGCGGCTGGTGCGGTCGCCGGAGAAGAGACATTGGCCCGAACACCACCTTTCGCGTCTGTGTCGTTTGATAGGCCCCTGTTCCCAGCCGCATCCCCCTCCGGCCCCCCGCCATCTCGGCACCGCAGTGGGAGCTCCACCCTTCGGAGCCCGAAGGCAACAGCCTCTATCCCCCATCTAGGGCGGCAGAGCGGCCAGTTGGGCCCAGGCCACGCCCATGGGGACAGGGGTCGGTTAAGCGATGCTCCTCTCGGAGCTCCGCGCAGAGCATGGATCGGCGCGGAGCAGCGCCTCCGGCGGGCAGGGGAGGGGTGGGCGGGGGGCTTCCGGCGCCGATCCATGCGGATCCGCCCGGAGCTCCGAGAGCTTATTGGTTCTGCCGCTCATGTGCCCCTTGGCTCGGCATCGCTCGGACGTGTGCATTTTTTCCTTCGGCGAGGACAATCGAGGAGCATCCTCGATCACTTGGCGCAAAAGCCACGCACGAAACCCAAGCAAAACACAGGGAATGGACGTCCGAGCGATGGCGAGGGGAGGGGTGGGCGGGGGGCCTCCGGCGCCGATCCACGCGGAGCCGCCCGGAGCGCCGAGAGCTGATGGTTCTGCCGCTCCTGTGCCCCTTGGCCTGGCATCCCTCGGACGTGTGCATTTGTTTCTCGGCGAGGACCATCGAGGACGATCCTGGACCATCGAGCCGAGCAAACAAAACACGCACGAAACCGAAAAACGCACGGAAAATTCACGTCCGAGCGATGGCGAGCTGGGGGTTTCGCGGGTTCCGATGTGGTCTTGCCGTGGGCGGCGCGGCGCTCCCGCGCCGAAGATCAGGGGACGCCCTTCTACTCGGCATCGCTCGGACGTGTGCACTTTTTTCCTTCGGCGAGGGCCATCGAAGAGCATCCTTGAGCATTTGGCGAAAAAACTCGCGCGAAACCAAAAAAAACTCAGGAAGTGGACGTCCGAGCGATGGCCAGTCTAGACCTCCCAGATGGGGTCGGAGTAGATATGGGGTCGGAGGATCGCGCCGCATCGCCGTTGCATCGACGGTGCGGCTCGATGTGGAGCCCGCAGTGCCCCACGCCGACGTCGCCGATGCATCGCCGACGTCGCCGATGCATTGGCGATGCAGGGCGATTCTTCGACCCCATCTACCGGACCCCATCTAGGAGGCCTCTAGTACTGGGATCTCTGGGTTGGGTTTCTTGTGGAAGGTTTCTTGTGATCGAGCTCCTGCTGCAGGTCGGAGAGCCACTCCACCTCCGTCAGCGTCACACAGCTGCACGAGCAGGGCATTGCCCTGGTCGACGTGCAGCGCGCGAGGCGGCTACTCGCGATCGTCAGGAGCCTATTTTGTTGCTATCGTTTTTGCGGGGGCCTTCTGAAGTATGCCCTGGAGGACGAGAAGGGAGGAGGAGGAAGGAGGCCGAGGAAGGAGAAGGACCGGGAGGAGGAGGAGGAGGAGGAGGAGGAGGAGAACCAGTCCAAGCCCAAACCCCCTGAGCGCTGTTGGAAGAAGCCCTCCCTCCACGCTGCCCCCTTCTGGGTCCGCGGCGCGGCCGAGCCCTGCTGCTGCCCGTGGCCTTCGTGCTCGGACCCAGACGTGGCCGCTCTGCCCCCCCCCGGGCGCTGCTGTTTTTTTTTTTCCCCCGCCCCTCGTGCTCGGACTGTTTTTGTTTTCCTTTTTTTTCCTGCCCCCCTTTTTTCCTTTTGTGTCCTTTGTTTTCATGCCCTTTTCCATTTGTTTTCCCGCCCCGCCCCGCTGGGGCGCTCGCGCGCCGCCTGGCGCAAGGCTTCTGACCTGACCTGACCTTGCCTGCAGCCCTGCGGCCCCGCAGCGTACGTGGCGTGGGGACTGCTGCCGCGGCCGTGCCGATGCAAGGTCCAGACCCACTGGGATGACCGTGGGGCAGGCCCGACTCAGGTGTTATCCCCCACGCCCCCTCCCTGACCTGACAACTCGGGGCCCTGCACCCCCACTCTGAGCCCCATTTCGATTGTTCGCGAAAACGCCCGTGGCCGTCGGGTATGTCCTCCTATAGGGGGGTTCTGAGAACAAGTGGATGCCAAGGTGCGTTAGATTTGGCGCAGCCTGGCTCAGAAGTGGGTTACGCATTCCCCGAGTGGCTTAGGGGGATTAGATAACTCGGCTAAGTGGGCGGAGCCCACTAGCCCAGATCGTTAACCCCCCAAGCTACTTAAGGCACTTGTAACCCACTTGTAAGCCAGGCTGGGCCAGATATAACGCACCTTAGCATCCTCTTGTAACCCCCCTAGCCACTCAGAACCCCCCGCGGTCATCCTAGAAGATCCAGACCCAGACGTGCTCGCGTCGCGACAAGGTCCGGGCGGGAGGTGTTTCACCGCCTTCGTCCTCGGGGCCCTCGCCGAGCCCCGGGACTGCCAAAAAAACGGCCCAGGACGAGAGGCCAGTCCTGGGGACAGGGTCGGGGCCTCCATTGGACCGGGCGTCGCGCGTCCGACGGCCGACCTCGATCGCGACCTCGGCCGGCCCGCTCCGACGCGGTGCCGACGCCGACGCGCCCGCGACGCCACCGGCGCGCGCTCCGATGCGGCGCGAGATCCCGGTGCGACGCCGACCGCTCCTGCCCCCCCCCCGCGGCCGCCACGCGCGTGCCCCTCTCCTGCGCCCCCCGTTCCCGCCTATTCGGCACGAACGAACGGGAAGAATGGGTGCAACGCCCAACAGCAGTTCCTGTTCATTCTGAACAGGACTCGCTGTCCACGCCGCCGCGGCCTGTGTCCATTCGAGACAGAAGGCCGCCTACCCAACAGCGGCCGCTGTTGGTTTGGGGGCAACCTTTGTCGTTGGGCATTGTACCCGTTCTTTCCGTAACCATGTCGGGCGTCCAAACCGATAGGCCGCTCGGCCCGCCCCGCCCCCCCCTGCTCGGGCCGAGCGAAAGGGGGGGATTGGGAAAGGGGGGGTTACGAAATCTGCTGCACGCAGCTGGTTTCGGCCCCACCGAGGGGCCCATTCCTCGATACATAGCCGCCTCTGGCGCCGGGAGGCGCCGGGAAAATCAGCTACTTGAGCTGATTCTCAAACCCCCCCTTTGCCTACCCCCCCCTTTCGCCCCCCCCCCCCCCCCCCCCCCTGCTCTCTTTCTCGGGTCCTGGGGCAGCCCACCCCGCGGGTGCACGCAGCGGGAGGGAGTCTTTCGCCCCACTGGGAGGGCCACACGGGCGCCGGCCGCCCTGCCCCCCCACCCTTCTCTCCTCCTCCTCCTCCTCCTCCTACCTCCTCCTCCTCCTCCTCCTCCTCCTCCTCCTCCTCCTCCCCCTCCCCTCTCCTCCTCTCCTCCTCCTCTCCTCCTCCTCCTCCTCCCTCCTTCCTCCTCTCCTCCTCCTCCTCCCTTCTCTCCCTCCCTCCTCCCTCCTCCCTCCTCCCTCCTCCCTCCTCCTCCTCCTCCTCCTCCTCCCTCTCCTCCTCTCCTCCTCCCTCCTCCTCTCCTCCTCCTCCTCCTCTCCTCCTCCTCCTCCTCCCTCGCGGGCTTCTCCGATTCTTCCCTTCTCGCTGTGGCGCCCCCGGATGCACAGAGCGGGGGGGGGGGCGCTGGCCCAGGAGGCAGCTTCTGGTTGCGCTTCGCCCCTCCCTGCCGGCCCCTCAAAGGAAAAACGGTTCCCCAGGGAGGAAAAAATGGGGGGGGGGGGGGGGGGGAAACGTAAGACTCGAGTAAGGTAAGCCAGAACTCGGGGTTGAGAACTCGGGGTTGCCGACGTTTTTTTTGACGAGCGTGTCCCGGATTTTGACGGTCGAGTTTCGTGGGATGTTTGCAGCGGGAGCCCGCGTCAGATTTCAGATTGGGCCTCGTCATTTTTATGATGGCTCCTGTGAGGCCAACCCGAGTCCCCCGTACGCGAGTCTTACGTCTCCTTGGGAGGGGAGATCCTGGCGGGGGCCACGACATCTCCCCAGATCTCATGGCGCCTCTTCTCATTTCAATATGTGTCCCTGACCCCCCGCGGCCACAGCGGGCGTGCTCCAAGGGGGGGGGGCAGGGGGCCGTTCGCGTCGCGATTCTCGCTGGCGCCGTTGGGAGATGCCTGAGTTAAGTCGGGCGTGTCCCTCTGCAGGATGAATACTCAAAAATAGTCCAAACAATAAGGGGACGATGCTTCTGGCATTTGTTCTGACTTTTGAACATGTTTTGCGTACCTTTTGTTTTTCGTCCAAAGTCCGCCTGTAGGGGAGCAGGCCCGACCTCATGCTTGAGAAGAACACCTCATGCCCAGACGGCGCAGGCGCGAGTCGTGACGCGGGGCGTTTCAGGGCGGGCCGTGCCTCCGAGGGTCGGAGGAGGTGCCATCTCTCTTCCGCGGCGGAAGGCGGCGGCGGAAGGTCGGCGGAGGTAAGACGAGGCCGCCTCCGCCGGCGGAAGCAAGCGGAAGCCAGCGGGAGGCCGGCGGAAGGCGGCGCGGGAGGAACAGATGCGTTTCGAAGAGACGATCACGTTTTTGCTGGAGTCCGCCACGAGGGCGGGTTAGTGGGGTTGGCCTTAAGTTTGACTGCATTTGATGGTTTTCATGTTTCTTGCACAGTTCGCCTGCGCTGGGATGACCGTGGGGGGTTCTAAGTGGATAGGGGGGTTACATGTGGATGCCAAGGTGGGTTATATCTGGCCTAACCTGCTTTAAAAGTTGGTTACAAAAGTAGCTTAGGGGGGTGACCGATCTGGGCTAAGTGGGCTCCGCCCACTTAGCCGAGTTATCTAACCCCCCTAAGCCACTCGGGGAATTTGTAACCCACTTATAAGCCAGGTTGGGCCAGATATAACCCACCTTGGCATCCACTTGTAACCCACCTATCCACTTAGAAACTCCCTAGGCCTAGAGGAGGACATACCCGACCTAAGGTTGGCCACGGGCGTTTTCGCGAACAATCGAAATCGGGCTCAGAGTGGGGGTCCAGGGCCCCGAGTTGTCAGGGCAGGGAGGGGGGCGTCGGGGATAACACCTGAGTCGGGCCTGCCGCTCTCGCGCGGGAGGTGCCCTGGCCTGCGCTCAACGCGAGTTTTCCAGTTCTCTCCGGGAGCTGGAGTTCTCCTGGATCGAGCGGTTCCAGAGCTTTCCCGGATCACGATGAGGCCGAATCCGCTCCAAAACGGTCCCCGGACCCAGACCCCACCCGGGGTCCATCTGATGCAGTTTGTCATTCTGGATCCGTTTTTCACGTCCTTGGGTCCCGAAGCGGCCACCAGAAGGCCGAAAAGGAAACAGTTTCCCGAGACCACAACCACGAGCTCGCCCGCCTTTCCTGCCGGCTGGAACCAGTGCTTCTGTGTCTCCCAGATGGGGCCGGAGCGCGCAGATGGGGTCAGAGGATCGCGCCGCGCCGCCGACGCATCGCCGATGCGGCTCGACGTGGAGCCCGGCTTGTCTCACGTCGACGCCGCCGATGCATCGCCGACGTCGGCCGATGCATCGCCGATGCATCGGCGGTGCGGCGCGATCCTCCGACCCCCTCCGCTCCGAGGGAGAGAGGGAGGGAGGGAGGGAGGCAGGGAGGCAGGGAGGCAGGGAGGCAGGGAGGAAGGAGGAGGAGGAGGAGGAGGAGGAGGAGGAGGAGGAGGAGGAGGAGGACCGCCCCGCCAGACGGCTCCTTAAGCCGCAGGCGGGCCGTGAAGCAGCGGCCTCCCAGGGCGTGGGGGGCGAGCAAGGCCGCGGCGGCGGCGCGCAAGGCGCGGGTGGGCCCCAGAAGGGGGTCCAGCGACAGGGGCGTGGCGCAGCAGGTTTGGTGCAACAGATCGGTGGGGTTGCAATACATCTGGGGCGCGCGGTGCAGGTCGGGGCGCAAGTGTAGTGCTGCACTTTCGCGTGCAACGCACCAGTTGCAAGACCATGCAGGCCAATGCTCCGGCGCAGTACACTTGCCATACATTTGCCCCAAATCTATTGCACCACCCCCTTGCAGCTGGACCCCCTTTTGGGTCACCCCACAAAGGCGGTGCATGGGGCCCTGCGGAGCGGGAGGGTGGAGGACGCGGCGTGCCAGGCTTCGAGGGTGGAAGACGGGTCCGTGTCCGCACGAGCAGGGGCGAGGCGTCCTGGCCTGCCTAGAGTTAAGTCGGGCCTGTCCCCCTACAGGAGGAGTATTCAAAAGTAGTCAAAAATCGTCTGGGGACTTTTTCTGGTATGTTTGTCTATGTTTGAGTCTTGTTTGACTATTGTTTATTCTTCGTCTAGAATCCGCCTGTGGGGGGGCACGCCCGACCTTAAGCCTAGAGGCCCATCAGAGATTGCTCTAAGATCCGGTTGGGCGTTGCGCGAAATGTTCTCCGGACATTTCTGGCAGAGACCGTCTTGTGTTCAGCACAGATTATTTGTTATTGTTCTAAGGTCATCGTCTCTCTTACTCGAGTTGTGTGAGCGCCATTCCGCGGTAGACCTATGGGAGTGCCGTGACGGTCTCTCCCTGCTCCTCCTCCCCCTCCTCCTCCTCCTCCCTCCTCCCCCTCCTCCCTCCTCCTTCTCCTCCTCCTTCCTCCTCCTCCTTCCTCCTCCTCCTCCTCCTCCTCCTCCTCCTCCTTCCTCCCCCTCCTCCTCCGTTTCGCTTGCTCCGTGCCGCGACCCCGTCGACACGGGGCGCTGTCTCACGGGATGCCCCCCGCGCTCAGCGTGCCCATGCGGCTGCGCAAAGCCGCGGGATCGCGCCGCGGAGTCTGGACCTTCCGAGGGCGCAGGTGTGGACACTCCTCCTCCCATTCTTCCTCCTTCCCCTCCTCCTCCTCCTCCTCCTCAGCCGCCGTCTCCTGCTCTTGCCCCATTTGACGCGGCCCAGCAGGCACCCCACGCAGAGCAGCTTCCGCCCCCAGGGCACCCTTCATGCCATGCCAGCGCGGCTGGCCATCCATATTTCATCTCTTGCGATCTTCTGGATGACATTCCCGAGCTGGGGAGTGTACAACCCGCTCAGCACGGTTGCGCCACCGAGAAGCTTGGAGAGGTCGAGACAGTTCAGCGCTGGCGACGTCATCACGTTACCAGCCACTCGTTGGCGGCAGCGCGCAGCCCGCCCCGCCGACCAGCTCCAGACCTACCATCACCGCGTCGTCAAGAGGGGCTACGGCAGTGGATCCTTCACCAACAATCACGAGTGCTTGGCCTACACCATCAGCAACCGCTACCGCATCGAGTGTGTGACCGCGCTCCCCCGCCCGCCGCAGAGCATTCAAGGACGCGCTGGAGCCGTTCGCCCTCGTCGCGGAGGACTCGACTCGAATTTCATCGTTGCGTCTCTACCACCACGGTCAGGGCCCGCCAAGCACCACAAGGCTCGAATCAAGAAGATCAACGAGAAGCTCAAGCGGATCTACCAGACCCAGAACGCGACGCCCACCTGGAGCACGCCGATCATCGGCCTAGACCTGCACGACCACGACGGCCAGGAAGGACTGCTTCCCGCCTCGCCCAGCTACGCGAGCGGCGACGCAGGCCCTACAGGAGTACCTGGAGAGACCACCGCTGCCTTCCACTTCGTGCCCAACGTGCGCGGCAGGTGCATCCTGAACATTTTCTGGAACGCGGGGCCCCTGTACATCGGAGCCCTTGGACAGGCCACTCGTCCCGACTACACCGCATTGCCCCATGGTCTATGCTCCCACACTACTTCTTGCAGAGTCCGGAGGCGAACGGCCAAGGCACCCCAACTCATCAATGGCAACGTGCAGCGCGACCCTGTCCTACATAATACAGCCGCCAACGACTTCTTCCCGAAGGAGGTCACCGTTCTCAAGAGGACCGCCTGGGACTACGACAAGGTTGCCCTGGCCCGGCAGAAGGGCAAATACCGCAAGGAGTTTGATGGCGCGCAGGAGTTCAACTTCGGAAAGCACCAGGACAAGCTGCAGAAGTTGCTCGGGGACGAACACGGGGAGCTCATCGTGAACATCATGAAGGAGGCAGCCAAACCCCTCTTCGAGCGCCAGAAGCCCAAGCTCGACCAACACTACCAGCTCATGAAGGAACGTCTGCGGCCACTCCAGAAGCTCAGAGAGGAGTACATCGGGACTGACCCCAACTACGAGATCGAGTACCAGATCGAGGTCCTCGCACGTCTCCTTGAGAAGCAGACACGCCAGCACGAAGCACGACGACAACACCTGCGAGCACTCGAAGGCGTCACCAAGCGGCTCAAGTACTTCAAGAAGCGTGCTTCAGTGCCAGACTGGCCACTGCCCGCAGGGAACTCCCAGACGACCTTCCAGCCCACCTACATCACCAAGCAGAAGCCGAAGCCGACTGGCGCGGGCTACGATGACGAGCTCGCTGAGGCCCCCCTTCGCGCTGGAGAGCTTCGAGTTAGTCCTCAACCAAGCGTGCCGCGTCGGCTTCGCCCCACTCCATGCCCATCACAGCCAGAGCCGCACCCCCGACAAGAAGAACGGCAAGCCCAAGGTCCTCGGCTTGCGCATACTCCACATGCCGCCCCCCTTCTGGCGCCGCTTCTACAGGCAGCTTCAGTGCAAGTCCAAGCCGAGGCCACCTCCACCTCATGCTCACGGCTGCTGGTCTCAGCGGCGTCGCGAAGTCATGCGACGCCAACAACGAGTTGGCGAAGCCTACCAGACCATGTGCGACCCCAGGCTGAAGAAGCTGCTCACGGTGGCGATCAAGCCAGGTCTGGTCTACTCTCAGCAGATCGCCTGGGGCGCTTCCGCGGTCTGCAGCTCGTATCCGATGCCGCCCCAGACCAAGGTGATCAAGGCGCTCCGAGCCTGCAGGAAGATCTACGCGGACAAGTGCACGGAGGCGGGCAAGGGACACTCGCTCATTGCGACCTTCTGCTCCGAGGACGTGGGCGCCAAGACCAAGAGCATTCGCACAGAGCATGGGGCGTTCGAGGACCAGTTCAGTGTAGCCACCGACCTCAACAAAGTGAAGCACCCGAAGATCAGCATGTGCCACGACAGCAACCAGGCGAAGTTCACACTGTACGTCGAGCAGGGGCCCTTGACCGACGCGGAGGCCGAGGACGATCCTCAAGAGGAGCAGAAGCAGCCGAGCAACACCAAGGACAGCACCCTCAGCGCGCTGCCCCCAGTGGGAGCTACGGTGCAGACGGGCATACTACCAGCGGGAGTCACGGAGGACGAGCTGGCCACGTGGTGGGCAGGGCTCTGACTACGAGTTCGTGAATATGGATGACCGACACGACTACGCCTCGTTCGGCAAGGTGATCGGCGTGCGTGGCGCTGTGATCACAATGAAGGTGCCGTTCTGAGCGGCGGCGGCGGGGGCCCATACTTGCGGCCGAATGCACTGCCTTGCCCCCCAATGCCGCTCTATCTATCTACCTCCTCCTCCTCTTCCATCTCCTCCTCTTCCATCTCCTTCTCCTCCCTCCTCCTCCTCTCCCCTCCACCTCCTCCCATTCCTCCTCCTCCTCCTCCTCCTCCTCCTCCTCCTCCTCCTCCTTCCTCCTCCTCCTCCTCCTCCTCCTCCTCCTCCCATTCCTCCTCCTCCTCCTCCTCCTCCTCCTCCTCCTCCTCCTCCTCGTGCCAGGTCCGGCACTTCAACATATCGAAGACGTCTACGGCGAATCACCGCCGCCCCCCGCCTTTTTGGAATCGCCTGCGTGGCGGAAGGTTGGGCTGGAGCTTGGCCAAGCCATCGGACCATGCGTTCCCCCAGCCGTATTTGAAACCTTTCAGGGAACACGTGAGGCAGAGGAGAATGAGGAGAATGAGGGAAAGGGATGAGGAGGAGGAGAAGGAGAAGGAGGAGGAGGAGAAAAAGGAAGAGGAGGAGAAGGAGGAGGAGGAGGAGGAGGAGGAGGAGCAGACCTCTTGGGAACCTCTTGCGGCACTCTTGGGGTCTCCTGGGCGCTTCCTGGGAGCCTCTTGGAGGCCTCGTGGGGTCTCCTTCGGCCTCTTGGGAACCTTTGGGGGCTCGTTCGGGGCCTCCTTGGCCGTCTTAGGGTTTCTGGGCCATCTGATGCCGTCGGGAGCCGTCTTGGGAGCTTCTCTGGACTGTCTTGGGGCCTTTTTGGGGTGCTGTTGTGCCGTTTTGGATGCCATCCGTCCTGGAGGCTTCTTGGGCTGGGCCGTCTTGGGGGCTTTTTGGGCCGTCCTTGGGCCATCTTGGAGGCCTCTTGGGCGATCTGGGGGCGATCTTGAGGGCCTCTTGGGCCGTCTTGGACCGTCGGAAGGCCGTGAAGGAGCAAATACCAACATGCTTCAAAAAGCAATGGGAAAGCAATGCTTTGGGCCTCTTTGGGCCTTCCTGGAGGACCTCTTGGAGGCCTCTTGGGCCGTTTTGGGCCGTCTGGAGGCATCTTGGATCCTCTCGGGAAGTCTTGGAGGCCATCTTGGACCATCTTGGGCGAACTTGGATGCCATCTTGGCCGTCTTGGAGGCCATCTTGGGCCGTCTTGGGGGTTTATTCCCAGTTTTGTGGTCCTTTTCGGGTGGCCGGCGGGACGGGCCGAAACCCCAGGGGGAGCTCTTGTTGAAAGTACAAAAACCCAGCCAGTAGGATCTAGCTCGCCAGGCACCCCTGTGGCAAGACCACGGGAGGCGGCGGATCGAGTGGCCTTCGGCCCATCCCGCCACCGTGTTTGGGTTGTGGGTTAGAGGCCTCTTGGATGTTCGTGTGGATATCGGGGGAGGCCTCTCGGGGGCCTCTTGGAGACAGTTTTGAGGAATCTTGGGGGCCGTTTGGGGGCCTCTTTTTGGCCTCTTTTTGGGCCTCTTGGGGGCTTCGTGGGATCTCGTACCTCGTTGCGTCTTTAGTTTTGAACCCCCTTCCCTCTCGGCGGTGAATGGGACTGGTCTTACAACCTCCATCGCGGCGGAGATCATTTTCCCTCCATGGGTGGGTGGGCTGGATCATGTTAGGGGCTTCTTTTTCCTAGTGAATAATGGCCCCTGGGCTATCCTTCACGACAGAGGAATTTTGAGCACAATTGCCAGAGGAGTACAAAACCGATCGACACATTCTTCGGCGAAGGCGTTGCTCACAGTCCTTCTGAGGATGTAGCTTCTGAGGATGGAGTTTCTGCGGGCCCTCGTGGGGCCTGAGCTTCAACAATCTTTCTCCTCAGGATGGAGCTCGTCAGGATAAAGTTTCTGAGGTAAGATTTTCCGTGAGAGCGCTCCTGAGGCATAAGTACTAGTAGTCGTCGCAGTCGTAGTCGCAATCGTAGTCGTAGTTGTCGGCGTCGTTGTTGTTCGGCGGATGACAGTTAACCCCATATCATGTAGTGGGACACCAGTCCGTGAAGAAGGCCACCGATGAATCATTTAGTTACCCACCTCTTGGGGGGGGTTCTAAAGACTTCCCGCGATTAGGGGGCCTCTTAGGCTCTCTTGGGGGCCTCCTGGGGGGATTATGGGGCGGAGGGCCCTTATTGTGGGTACGTGTTCCCCCCTCCTGGGCCCCTCTTGGGGCCGTCTTGGGGTCCTCTCGGGCGATCTCGGGCGACTCTTGGGCCGTTTTGCGGTCATCTTGGCCCATTTCGGGGCCTTCTTGGGGGGCTCTTGGGTCGTCTTGGGCGGTCTTAGGGGCCCCTGGGGCCATCTTGGAGCGTCGGAAGCCCGAAAACGCGAGCACGCGAAACACATTGAAAAACACGTGGGAAATCAATGATGTGTGCCTCTTTGGGCCCTCTTGAGGGTCCTCTTGGAGCATTCTTGGGGCTTCTTTGGGGCCTTTTTGGCCGTCTTGGGTCCATCTTGGGCGTCTTGGAGCGCTCTTGGGATGTCTTGGAGGCTTCTTGGACCCTCTTTGGCCCTTTCTGGGGCCCTCCTGGCCCATCTTGGGGCCCTCCAGCTTCTGGGAAAGTCATGCGGGGCAGTTCACGAACACGGGGGACCGCCCCAGAAATTCGAGAGTCTGCGGCCCCAGCCCTCAGAATTTCATATCACCCCAGAGTCCTGAGCACAGAGAACAGAGCAGGAGGAGGAGGAGGAGGAGGAGGAGGAGGACCTGGACAGAAAGCTCCACCTCTCGCGCCCTAGCGCGGCACGGGTGGCGGATCCCGCCGTTTCGAGGAGGCCCTGTGGGCGCAGGCGGCCAGGCCCACCTCCAGGTACCGGATCGCCCCCGGCGTGCGCGCGGAGCTCCTGTGGGCGCCGCGGCGCGGCGCGAGGCCGGTGGGCACAGTTTTTTACCACCACTACCAGAGGCAGGAGAGGGAGGAGGAGGAAATAGGAGGAGGAGGAGGACCTCCCCTCCTCGTCGTCGTCCTCCTCCTTCTTTTCCTACGTTGGGCCAACATTAGGTGAGAACCTGCTGCGTTAGTATTATTATTATTATATTATTATTCTTCTTCTTATTATTATTTTTATTATTATTGTTATTGTTATTATTAGTATTATTATTATCATTATCATTATTATTATTATTATTATTATTCTCATCATTAATATTAGTATTATTATTGTTAGTATTACTATTATTATTATTATTATCATTATTATTTGATATTAGTATCATTATTATTATTATTATTAGTATTCGTATTATTGCTATTAATATTACTATTATTATGATTACTCTTAGTATTGTTATTTGTCGTATTATTATTATTCTTCTTATTATTTTTCGTTTTATTATTATTCTTATTATTATTCCTCCTCCTCCTCCTCCTCCTCCTCCTCCTCCTCCTCCCTCTCCTCCCTACGGTAGTGGTGGTGGGACATGGGCCCATCCGAGGCGCACCGGCTACGTGCTCGCGCCCGGCGCCGAGTTCGCCTCCGTGCGCGAGGCGGCGGACGCCGACGGCAGCCTCTGGCTGCGCGTGGGCGGCGCGGCCGACGCGGCCGCGGCGCTCCGCAGCGGGGCCGCGGCCGCGGGAGCGCGCCCGGCGCCCTCGGGCGGCCCGGTGCGCTTCGAGGACCTGCCCGGGGCCGTGGGCTCGCGGGTGCGGCGCGGGCCAGACTGGGAGTGGCAGGACCTCGCAGGGAGCCGGGGCGGGCCACGCCCTCTTCTCTGCCCCTCCTCCTCCTCCTCCTCCTCCCCTCCTCCTCCTTCTCCTCCTCCTCCTCCTCCTCCTCCTCCTCCTCCTCCTCCTCCTCCTCCTCCGCCCTCCTCTCTCCTGCTGCCTCCCTCCCCCGTCTCTCCCCCGAGTGTGCTCGAGCGCGTGTGGTGGGCTTGCCTTGTTTCCTGTGCGCAGGCCCTGGGTCGCATTTTCTCTGTGTGCGCGCGTGTGTGTCTCTGTGGAAGGAGGGTGCCGGTGTACTGCAGACCTGTTCGCAGACCTTGGATCGCATTTTGTGTGCGTGTGTGTCTTTGTGGAAGAGAGTGCAGGTACTGCTGCCCTTGCCTCGTGTGCCGCCTCCTCAGGACCCCTGGGAGGCCCGCGTCGTCGCCACGGCAGGGCTCGCCTCGGAAGGTTCGTGCGAGCGCCTCCCGGGAGAGGCCTCGGTGGGAGCAGCAGCATCGGCGCCTCGGGGGCGGCAGAGAGGGGGGTGCTGTCTAGGGTTCTGTCGGGCGTGTGCCCCTACAAGGGAATGTTCGACGAAAAATGAAGAATACCCCCAAACTACCCCAAAAAGATCAAAAATACTCAAAACATAGTCCCCCGACTATGTTTGGACTACTTTTGGATTTTTTGTATATTGTTTACTGTTCGTTGAAAATCCCCCTGTAGGGGGACAGGCCCGACTTAAGGCTAGGGGGGGGGGGATATCATGGCGTGGGCCATGATATGCCCCAGACTTCATGGCGCCTCTTCTTGTCTCATGACGTCCATGCCCCCCCCCCCGCCGGGCCGCGCACACGCCGCCGGTCATGATTTGCACCCCCCCTCTTGGCCGCTCCCGGCCTCCGGAAGCCCCAGGATCAGGACGGAGGCGGCCTCGGCACGGTGAGGGGTGCCGCGGACGAGCGGGGCTGGGTCCGGGTCCACTGGGACGCCGGCGGGGCCAACAGCTATCTGGTTGCTTGCGGCAGAGCCCCTCCGCATCGTTCGGCCTGTCTCGACGGGGGCTCTTGGAGGCGTGCTTGAAATCGGGCTTGCCCCTCTACAGGAGGACGATCTAGGAATTACCAAAGCACCGTCTCGTGACGATTGTTCTATGTTTAGACTATATGGGGGTAGTGGTGTTTTCTGTCGATCCTTTTTTTTTCTTCCACAATCCCCCCGTAGGGCCTACGGGGGACATGCCTGACCTTAGGCCTGTTGGGCTCTCTGAGGCCGTCGTGGGCGCACAAGTTCTGCCGAGGCCTCTCCAGGGGCTCGGTGAGACCGCCTCGCGGCCGTCACGGCGGGGCCTGGGGCGCCACTGGAGCTCTCGTTGGCCCATCCCCCCCGTGGCGTTCGCTCCTCCCCTTGTTCCTCCTCCTACTCTTGCTCCCGCTCCTGCTGCTCCCCCCTCCTCCTCTTCCTCCTCCTCCTCCTCCTCTTCTTCCTCCTCCCCACCTTTTTTCTGCTCCTCTCTGTTCCTCCTCCTCCTCCTCCTCCTCCTCCTCCTCCTCCTCCTCCTCCTCCTCCTCCTCCTCCTCCCCCGCCTCCTCCTCCTCCTCCTCCTCCTCCTCCTCCTGCAGCGTCGTAGCCTTCCACGCGCCCGCCCGCGACGGCGGCCTTGATCGACCCTCTGCGGCTCGTGTGCCTCTCGGTCTGGACAGCCGGGCTGCGGCCCGCAGGCCTGGCCGGGGGTGAACCAGCCGTCGAACGTTGAGAGCCTTGAGACGGGGGTCAACGCAAACGGGGGTCAGCCAGGGCACCAGATCCTGCAGGATCCTGCGAAGACCCTCTCTGGCTGGCCCGGGTCAGGGAGTCGCTCGTGGCCGCGAGGCGGCCGCACATATTGGCTGACCCGGGTTTGCGAAGACCTGCGTTGCAGTTTTTTTGTCTTGCATTGCAGTTTTTGGTTTCCTGCTGACCCGGGTCTGGATTGACCCGGGTCAGAAGATCCCCGAGAACGACCTGCGGAGTACAGTCGGGGCCCTGAAGAAGGAACCTTTTTGGTTGGGGAGGGGCTCCGCGTTCCTTAAGTGTTTCACAGCTTGCCCCAGGTTTTCCTTATGTCTTCGATAGGAAATCGAAGTTTAAGTTTTATGGAAAAAAGGGGCCTCGTTCCCTATTTAGGGGTTCCTTAGGTCAACGCCCCGACTGTACGAGACTCTCCTGTGCGAGGCCGAAACGAGCACACATCAATCCAGAGAAGGAATAGGCACCCATACCGCCACCCTCCGCCCGTTTTCCCTTTTTGGGGGCCTCCTCGGAGGCCCTCGTCGCCACCGTCGGAGTATCTTCAAAATTCTGGTAAGACCGCACCCCGGGACAGGGACAGGTCGGGGGAGTAGCGGTAGTTCTCGGTACCTTCGGTTCTCCCCATAAATGGGCCGTCTCAGGGTTCATGCGGAGCAGGCTTCGTGGGGCTCTTCCCAGACCCCCGCCGCCATGTTTGTTTTGTTCATGCCGTTGATCCCCGGAGGTCTGGACCCTTCCCAGTGACCCGTTTTTCATCCCGAGTCGTTTTTGACGGTCCCGAGGCCCGGAAAGGGCTCCGAGATGCCGAACATAAGAAAAACTCCCGTCGTGATTTTTTCCTGGCCCGATGGGGCCTGGGTCTGGGGCCGTCCTTGGCCTCCCGGCAGCCTCCCCGAGCCCACCTTAGGACGACAAGGTAGAGCTGCCACAGACATACAGTGGAGACTCGTGCCAAGAAGCACCTTGCTTGCCTTCAGGGTGCCCTGGGTTTTTTGGGTTTCTATGGTTTTGCAATGGAAAGCGTGACGTCCCCACACCAACAATCAGTGGACGTCCTGGGGTCTCAAGGTTGGATTTCTTGTGGAAACTTTCTAGTGGTCGGGCCCCCACTGTATGAGAGACTTCACGTTCTTTTGAAGGCCTTGCCAGAAAGCTGACGCCTGCTCGGGGATTCCCGAGGCTTTCGTGGAGCAGCCCCCAATATTGGAGTTCTTCGAGCTGTCTTGGATTGGTTTTGGGGCACCACGCAGTCTTTTTTTGCAGCCTCTTGAGGTGTCGTTCGGCCGTCTTGGACTTGTGGAGGGCGCCCCGGGGCATCATGTAATTAGGGAGATTGTCTTTTAGCCCGCATGCGCCACGGGGGGACGCTTCCAGGCAGCTGACAGGCATACAGTGGGGGCCCATGCCACGAAACACCATGCTCGCAGGTCTCTTGGGCTTCGATGGTTCTGCCATGGAAAGCGTGACGCTCCAACACCAAAAATCAGTGGACGTTCTGGGGTCTCAGGGTTGGGTTCCTTGCGGAAGGACTTCGTGTGGTCGGGCTCCTACACTGTACCCACACGCCCCAGCGCGCCGAGGGGCGTAAGGTGCGGACCGCGCCGGCGCCCAGTCGCAGCACGACCTGGAGTACGTCGACACCGGGCTTGGGCCCCAGCCGCTGCTGCCGGCGCAGGGGTGGCTGCTGGTCCGGCCAGGGGGGGCAGGCAGCGGCAGAGGGCCTCTGCGGACCAGGGCTCCGACGACGTGATCGGTTCAGTCCAGTGCTATCATCGTGGATGTCCGCTCGCGGGGGCCCGGGGCGGGACCACCAAAAAGGTGGAGCCGGGAGGAGAAAAACTATACCTAAAACAGGGCTAGGATCGGGATAAATCGCTCCAGAGCGTTCGGGAGCCCTCTCAGAGCGTTCCGGAACGCTCTGGAGTGGCCGCGGCGCCCAATACATCCTCCAAACCCGCCGATTCTCAGAGATTTCGAGTTATCCCGATCCGACTTTGTCCCGATCTTCGCGTCGTTTTAATACCTCTGCGGGGCAGCGGTCGGGACCTCTGCAGGGCCGCGGATTGGAAGGCTCACGTCGGAGGAGGTCCAGGGTGCCCATCACCGCCGTGCCAGGGCCGCCCCCCTGGCCTCGAGGGAGGCGTGCGGTGCACGGCCAAGAGACGCTGAAGCGAGGAGCAGTTGGGGTCCGGGAGGGGGCTCGAGGTCCCTCATGGGGCCTTCCCTGGCTGTTCCTCTACGTAGCGCTCCTCGTGCCCCCAGGCGCTGTTGGTGCCAAAGAGGGGCTTCGTTGAGGAGCAGGAGGAAGAGGAGGAGGAGGAGGAGGAGGAGGAGGAGGAGGAGGAGGAGGAGGAGGATCGAGGAGGATCGAGGAGGATCGAGGAGGCTTCTTGGCTGGCGTCCCTGCCTGCCGGCAGCCAAGCCGGAGATCGAGCCAACCGTGGCCCGCGCCCAGGAAAGGCCGCGCACGACGCTCCCCCGGGCCCCGGGGGTGGGCCTGGCCCAGCTGGGCGCGGCGGTGGCGGCGCAGAGGGGCGCCTCTGCGCGAGGCACGCCGCCGGTGGCGGCGCCCACCAGCGTCAAGTCGGGCATGTCCCTCTACAGGGGGAGTGTGCAAAGATAGTGCAAAAGTGCTGTGGGGACGAAATTCCTATTATTTTTAGAAGTACGTTTGTCTATTGTTTCATTCAATATTTTTGTTGCCCAGGATCTGCCTGTAGGAGGGCATGCCCGACCTGACACCAGCGTCGCGTTCGCCTGCTTCGCGTGCGGCGGCGACATGTGCCCCCCGGCGTGCGCCCGGGGCACCCGCCCGAGGCCACAAGGGGCAGCGAGAGGCCGGATCGACTGCAGGATTGGTTGAAAGCAGAACTGATTTTCTCCTCGGTTCTATTAGGGGAACAGAAAGTGACAAAAAGTGACTCCAAAATGGGTTTCTTCGTCGAAGTACAAAACAATACGTAGAACGCCCGTAGATATTCCATTGATTTTCCGTAGATAGGGAAACAAACAGTTACATAAAGATAAGAACTCGGAGGTCCGCGCGGACTTCTCGGATCGGCGCTGGGGCCCCCCCGGCGGCGCCTTCTCTGGCGCCGCCCTGGCGCGCTCCGCGCGCCAGGGAGGGGGATCCAGCGCCGATCCGAGAAATCCGCGCGGACCTCGAGTTTTTATGCTTATGTCACTTGTTGCTCCCCTATCTACGGAAAGTCAGTGGAAGATCTACGGGCGTTCTACGCATTTTTGGTGCATTCGACGAGGCAACCAATTTCGGGGTAAACCAATTCTGTAGATCATCCCCTGCTCGAAGAGGGGGGGGGGGGCTCGGGGGAGGGGGGGGGCGCAGCGGCACCCCCTGTGCCCGTGCCTCCCCGCTGGCGGCGATGGCCCCCCCCCGCCCGGGGACCAGGCGGACGCGCTCTCGGGGGCGGGTCGCCGACCTATCGGCGATGCATCGCCGAGTCCACGTCCATGCCCCCACCCTGGCCCATTTTTATGTCGGGCGTGTCCCCCATACAGGGGGATTTACGACGAAAAATAAGAAATAACCAAAAAATGCCCCAAACAGGCAAAAAAATACTCAAAAAATAGCCCCCCGACTATTTTTGGATTATTTTTTTTTGCCATTGTGGTTTTCTATTTTTCGTCGAAAATACCCCTGTAGGGGGACGGGCCCGACCGAAGTCCATTGTGCAGTCCTTCCTCCCCCCACCGCTGCCCCTCACGAGGGCGCCCTTCGAGCCCGTGTGCCTGTCGGAGGTGGCCCCCGGCACGCCGCTGCTGCTGGCCGCCACGCTGGACGAGGTGGTCGTGGAGCGCATCGAGCCGGCGGGGGGCCAGGCGCCTCTCCTTTCATCGGGGGCGGCAAAGAGAGGGTGATATAAAGGAGGGTGTGGATCCCATGGCGGGGGCCATGATACTTCGCCAGATTTCATGGCGCCTCTTCTTACTTCATTACGTTTCTGGCCCCCCCTCTGGGCCGCGCACATGCCGCCGGTCATGATTTGCACCCCCCCTCTTGGACACACCCCTCTTGGCCGCTGCCGATTTCAGCACCGCGGGACTTGTCTTAAGGCGGGCCTGTCCCTCTACAGGAGGAATGTCCAAGAACTGTCTGGAACATCGCACGGGGACGAAATTTTACTGTTTTTGTTGGCTACTTTCGAGCAGGTTTTGACTATCTTCAGTTTCTCGTCCAAAAATCAGCCTGTAGGAGGACACGCCCGACCCGAGGCTCGTCCCCGCCCCCGGTGGTCGAAGATGCAACAGCAGCATAACAGCATACACTTTCGGAGATCCGCGGGGATTTGTGGGATCGGCGTGGCCCCCCTGGCGTCACCTCCGGCGCCGCGCGTCAGGGAGGGGATCCAGCGCCGATCCAAGGGAGCCGCGCGGACACTCGAAAGAGAGCCCGGGGGGGCGGGGTCCCACATCAGAGGAGGGCGAATTGAGACATCAGGAGGAATATCCAAAAATAGTAGGAAGAAGTCTGGGGACGTTTTTTTTTGGGGGGGGGGTACCATTTTTGAATATCTGTTTGATTTATGTTTTTCGTCCACGGTCCCCCTGTAGGAGGACATGCCCGACCTGACCCAGCCCCCGACTTTTCGACACCACTGGAGCGATACACCCCAGGGGGGCCAGTCGGACGCCCCCCCCAATCGCGTATCTCAGGGTGGGGCTCCAGATGTCTGGTTCACTCGAGAACCCCGCGAAGCCCGGGAGAGGGTTGGCATAACCATCCTCTGCCACCGAAGAAGAAAACACGCCATAAACATAAACTCTTGGCGCTCCGCGCCGATCCGCGCCTGGGCCCCCGCGGCGGCGCCCCCGGCGCCGCCCCTGGCGCGCCCCGCGCGCCAGGCGGGGGGCCCAGCGCGGATCCAAGAGACCCGCGCGGAGCCCCACAAGTTTTTGTGTATGGCGTTTTTTCTTCTATAATTACGTGTTGGCCTCTCCCCTGTGAGCAGTAGGGTCAAGTCGGGCATGTCCCGCTACAGGAGGAAAATTCAAAGATAGTCAACAATAGGAACAGTCAAAAATAGTGTGTTTGAGCATCTGTTTTTTCTTCCTGACTATCTCTGCATTTCTCGTCTAATATCCGTTTGTAGGAGGACACGCCCGACCTAAGCACATCCCCTGCAAGCAGCAAGGGTCCAGGGGCCGATACCGTCGGGGCGCTGCAGAAGGAGCCCTTGTTTGTTTGGGAGGGGCTCAGTGTTCCGCCGTTGTTTTCCAGTTCGCCTCAAGTTGTCCGTAGGCTTCCGATGGGAAGTCGACGCTTAATGTATGGAAAGGGGCCTCGTTCTTTATATATGTCGGAGGTGGATCGACCTCCTACCCTGAAACGTCGATTAAGGAATTGGCCGTTTTCGGTTCGCGAGAGGGCGTCGCGGCCGTCGTTTTTGCGGGTCCAGGCCCGTCGGTTTTGGCCCCAGGCCGTTTTCACTAAGGGGAGGTTTAGTAAAGGGAGGCTTGTCCACCGCCGAATATGGGGCTCCTTAGGTCAACGCCCCCACTGCACAAGTCATCGTCGATTCCCAGGAAAAGATTGGATAAATATGGGAAGTGGGGGGGAAGACAAACACCCAGAACCTGTGGGAAACAATGGGGAACCCTTCTACCTGTGCCTGCTTCTTTGCGTGTGTGTCCCGGGGCCCCTTAGGCCAACGCCCCCGCTGCATGGCGAGCTGCCGTGGCCCCCGCTCGCCCTGCCAGCTCCGACGGCACGCGCGCCGGCGGGCCTGCCGGCGCGCCCCCTCGGGGTGCGGGCGTGGGGGGGGAGGGGCGCCGCGCGGCCCGACGTGAAGACGGGCACGCCCCCCGGCGTGAAGTCGGGCACGCCCCCCCTGCAGGAGGACTGCTCCAACCTACTTTAGCCTTGGTCACCGGGAAGAATTTCGAGCGCCCCCAAAAGTGCCGAAACTCAAGGGTTTTCACGTGCCGGGCCCTGGGAGACACTGTTTCGACACTCTTTCGACACTCTTTTGACACTTTTCTGGGTGCTCGAAATTATGTCTGGGATGCGGTCCTTAGGTAGGACGGAAACAACATAACCCTACAGGAGGACTGTGCAAGGATAGTCGAGCCATATAGTCTGGGGGCGACTTATTCTGCCTGTTTTGGATTCTGTGTGGAGCGTTTGTTGCCTAATTATTCCTTGGCCTTTGCTGGGCGTTTTTTTTGTTGGTGCACCTTTCCTCCAAGCACCGCCTGGTATGGGGGGCCTGCCCGACCCAGCCCCATGCCCACCTCGGAGGGGCGGACCGGACGGCGGGCCCAGACCCCCCCTCGCGTGGTAAACAGAAGGCACGGCGGGAGGTTTTGTTGCGCCATGTCTCGGCCTCCCGCGGGCCCTCGCCGGGTTCCGGCTCCGTCCAACGACTCCTGGATGAGGAGCCGGTCCTGGGTCCTGGGGAAGGGGTCCGGGCATCTGGGGGTCGGCGTTCGGGGGGGAAAACAAAAAACACGACGTCGGGGGTCTGGGGGGCCAGGGGTGTCCTGGTGGGGACAGGGACAGGTCTTAACGTCGGGGGCAGCCACGAGGGGGGTGACGACTAGCTGGGGGATTTCGTGGCGTCTCTTGTTTCGATGCGCCCCCCCCCCCCGCCCCGCCCCCTGGGCCGCGCACATGCCGTTGGCCATGATTGCGCCCCCCCGCCTAGGACGCCCCCCTCTTGGCCGTCCCCGAATGTTGTTTCCTTTTCGTGAAAAGTGGCACGTGAGTGCCCAGGCGCATACGGAATTCAAGGGGGGCACCACTGGGGATGGTTGCCACAGCTTGCCGGTAGTGAATGTTGAGAAGCACCCTCGTGGGCATGAAAAAGCAACGGGTCGATCACAGCTGGAGAATTACACTCGGGACGAAAGAAACGCATGTGTCTCTCCAGCAGTTAAGTGCAATATCGCAGAACATGTAATTCGTTTCGTGAGTGACGCTGTATCGTCCTTGAACGTGGTTATCGGGGAGGAAGACTCCCGGCAGGCTAGAGCGTGTTTCTTCTCTGCTTGGGCAATAACGCGCGTTATGCTCCGCCCCCCCCCGCCCCCCCCCATAACGTAACGCTCTGGCCCCCAGTGCGCCCCCGGCATTGCTGCCGTGCGCAAAGGGATCCACATAAGCAGCCGAATAGGGATTCGCATAGGCATCCGCACAGAAATGCGTACTTATGGGGACCCGCATGGGGATTGGGGTCGCCCAGAGATGTCCATCGGGATCCGCAACGGGATCCGCACTGGGATTTCCCAGGGACCCTTATAGAGATCCGCATGAGGATCTGCATAATTAGGGATCCGCATATGGATCCCCAGAGGCATCCGCACAGGGATCCGCGGAGGGATCCGCAAAGGGATCCGTATGGCAATATGGCAATTCGCATAGGCATACGCGCAGGGATCCGCATAGGCATCCGCAGAGGCATCCGCATAGAGATCCGCAAAGGGATCCGCATGGGGTTCCCCGGAGGGGTCCTCATAGGGGCCCGCGTGGAGATCCGCCTAGGGGCGGTGGTCGCGGGCAAATTGCGGTGCTCTCAGGCACTTGTCGTGTTCGTAGGAGAGAGCGAGCAATCGGAGGAGAAGGACGACGACGACGAAGGCAGAGACGCCTTCGCAGGTATGTGCTCGCCACAAATCCTCGTCGCTCTTCGTCGTCGGTCGTCGTCGTCGTTGTCGTTGTCGTCGTCGTCGTCACCGTCGTGGTCTGCGTTGTCGTCATCGACGTCTTCGTCGTCGTCGTCGCTGTTTATTGTCGGTCGTCGTCGTCGTCGTCGTCGCTGTCGTCGTCGCTGGTCGTCGTCGTCGTCGTTGTCATCATCTTCGTCGTCGTTGTCGTCATCGTCGTCATCGCTCGCGGTCGCTCGTCGTTGTGAAACGCCTTCGAATGCTTTCGAGGGCCTCTGGAGGCCTTCGGATGACCTCCGGAAGTGCCTCAGGAAACCTCAGGAGGCGTCGCTCGTCGTCGTCGCCGTCGTGGTCGTCGTCGGTCGTCGTCGTCGTCGTCGTCGTCGTCGTCGTCGTCGTCGTCGTCGTCGTAATGGTCGCTCGTCGTTGTGGTCATCGTCGCCGTCATTGTGATCGTCGCCGTCGTCGCCGTCGTCGTCGTCGTCGTCATTTCGGCTCAAGACGGCACCCAGGCAGCTCTGGAGATCGCACGTCCGTCCAGGCGGCCCCGCCTGGATCTGAGACAGGAGTTTCTGGCCACTCTCGAGTTTGAGGCATCCTCGCGCGCATTTTGCAGCGATCCTGGATGGCTTTCGTGAATGCCCCGCCGCCCGTGCTGCCTGCTGGCGTGGTAGCCGACGCACCTGGCCAGGCCTGGGAGCGAGATCAGCGGCGCAAGACGGGACTGGTCACAGGTGAGGTCGCGATGGAGGATCGGGACACTGACGATGACATCGCCCCCGTCGAAGTCCAGCGTGCAGCGCCCGTCCAGTCCGTCGTGCCGCAGGCCGCCCCGAGCCCTCCTACAGACCCAGCACAGCTGGGGTTGGCGGCAGTATATCATCGGGGCCCTCAACCAGTCGATGGGGGTGAAGTTGGACGGGCTGCAGACCCGAGTCGACGCCCTGCAGCGCACTTCAGAGGCGAGCAGCCGCGACATCTCCGCGGTGCAGGCCAGACTGAGGGCGCAGGAGGTCCGACTGGAGGCTCTCGAGGCGGGTCGCTCTTCTGCGAGTTCGGTCGGACCTAGAGCGGGCTTGGGATCTGCTTCCCACGTGAGCGGCCAGCCTGATCCGTGGGGCGCGTACCTGGATCAGCAGCGTGCTGGCGGGATGCCACCGCCGACGTCACGGCCGCGAGGAGGGAAGAACTGCAAGCACATGGTGTTCGTCGCGGGCTTCCCAGGCACGTGGGACAAGGATGAGGTTGAGAAGCACTTGCGTACGGAGCTCGCCAGGACGATCTCCCTAGAGGCGCAGGGGATCACGGAGATCTACGGGGTGGGGAGGTTCTGCGACCAGGCCAAAGTGGTCTTCGCGAACAATCAAAAGATGTGGGGCTTCATGAAGCGCTGGAAGGGCCAGAAGATCCCATGCCCTGGAGCGCGCAACGACAAGCTGTGGCACAAGGTTGACCAGGAGCCCCACGAGGTGGAGCTCTCGCGGCGGGTCAGCTGCGCGGTGAGGATCCTGCGCGAGTTCGGCATTCAGTCGGGATTGTGCACGGAGGAGTCGAAGCAGCGGACTTTCGATGGCGACTGGGACCGCGGACAGGTGGTCTTCCGCAAGAACAGTACGGAGAGGCCAGTTCGCCTGCTGCAGCGCTCCAGGACGTCAGACATGCTCGAGGTCAGCACCGACGCCCTGGCAGCGGCTGTTCTGGACCAGGAGCTCAAGGATCTCAAGCTGCACGAGCGGCTGAGCGAGATCAACGACCCTCCGAGGCTCCAGTGATTTCGAGTACGGGGCAGGCGCTACGTTAAGGACATCAGGGACCTCACAGTTCTTGGGTGGAATGCGAGAGGTGTCCTTGCGAAGCGGCGCCGTGCCGTGCTCGAGTCGCTGACCGACGAATTCGATGCTAGTCTGATCCTTTTTCAAGAATGGTGCGTTGCTGGTGGGGCCCTGCAGACTTATGACGGCTATGTTGTGCACGTGTCGCCTCCATCGGGGGCTTGGCAGAGGTGCGCGATAGCGGTGGCCAACTCACTGGCGCCCTCCGTCATTGGCGAGCCGCAGTTCCACGGTCGCACCATGGCCCTGGACTTACAGTTGCCTATCTGGGGCCGAGTGCGGGCTATCACTAGCCACCTGTTTTCGCATATCGTTCGATGTGAGTACGCGGAGACCGTCCAGCAGTTACGAGAATGCTTGAATACCATGCCGATCGATTGCCACGCCATTGTCAGCATTGATGCCCGGGACGGCCTAGGGATGCCTGACGGAGACATTGTGGGCCCTTTCTCTACTTCCGACATGACCTGGCGAGGCGAGATGCTTCACGACCTTATGACCGAGTTCGATCTGATAGCTGCTAATACCTATTCCCGTGGACAGTGGGGCCAGGCCACCTGTTTCTTTGACAATCGCAAGGGGCCTAGACAGATCGACTTCATGTTGATCCACCGCGACTGGTTGCCGCGGACGCACTGTCAGGCCCGCTTCACCGACGCCTCTTCGAGCGACCACCTGCCGCTCCTCCTGCGCTGCCATGATGGCCAAGGTGTTCCCACGATCGATGGCCATACCGAGCTGACACCGATGGAGACCGTTGAGCGACCACAACGGAAGCCCGCGGGCTGGCAGGTCGAGGACCCTGAGCTGTTCAACTCCACCATCTGCACGTCCCTGGAGATCAGCTACACCCCGCCAGAGACCGCGATGTACACTGAGGGGGACATGACGAACGCTATGAGGATCTTTACTGACGGCTCTGCTCGGCGTGGACGAGATCGACAGCGACGTCATCGGTGCCATGCGGCTGGCTGGGGTTTCGCACTCTATCACGTAGCCGAGCCGAATGACCAGGATACCAGCCTTCTGGAGGCCTGTGGTCAGGTCACCACTGACGTGCAGGACCCTCGATCTGTGGGCGCGACATGTTTATCGGCGAACACGGGTGAGCTGACGGCCACCATTGAGGCGCTGCTCTGGCTACTCGGACATCGTTTACTCGTTCAGCCACTAGCACGGGACGGCACCCGCATCATCGTCAGCACCGATTCCACGTACGTGCGCAACCTGCTACAGGGTGTCTTCCAGCCGAAGGAGAATTTTGAGCTTGCGACCCTGGCCACCCACCTGTGGCAGCGCTGCCAGACCGCTTATGACATGATCATCAGATGGGTGAAGAGCCACAACGGGAACACGGGCAACGAGCAGGCAGACTGCCTCGCTAAGAAGGGCAGTGACCAGCGTTACAGCGACAGCCACTGGAGACGGCCATATCCGACACCCGACTGGGACTCGGCTGGTTTCCAGGACACCTGTGTTGCCCACCGCGCAGCCTGCCGCGCGGAGCGGAAGCGACGCCAGGCCGACATCCTCAGGGAGGACGCGGGTGCCGCATTGGGTCTTCACCTGACAGCGCCTACGGCGACTGCCTCCAGCACGCGTCAGGGCATCGCCTCGCTGGGCCTCCTGTCAGCCGCCATCTGCGCGGCCGCCGCGAAGGCTGGCCACGCCCCACGCCGAGGCCGGTGGCGGCCGCCGCCAGGCGACGCCCAGTTACTCCAGCTGCAGGCCCTGGAGCGCGCGCGAGCCGCGGAGGAGGACCCGAGAGTGAGACACCTCATGGGGCCTGCGGTCTGCAAGCTGAAGCGGGCTATGAGAGACCGATGTTCCACTGAGCACCTGGCCCGTCTGTGCGAGCGAGGTCGGGCCGAGAAGGCCTACAAGACGGGGCGCCCAGCACGCTGCCTTGACAAGATGGATGGCGGCCAGGCTACCACCAGTGCCGAGAGACTGCAGGAGGCTCATACTTTCTACACTCAACTGTTCCAGGACGCGACCAGTGACCGACAGCTGCCAGATTGGATCCACCAGCAGTGGTCAGCCGAGGAGCAACAACAGTCCGCGCCTTTGAGCCCCCCGCTTCTCCGCACGTGCATCGGTTGCCTCAAGAGCTGCAAGTCCTGCGACGAGACTGACATGATCGTGGGCGAAATGCTCCAGGGGCTGGAGACGGACGTATTAGAGCACCTGCTGCAGGCCTTCAGACTGCGGCTCAGGAATCACGCCTCGGAACATTTCGACGCGGCCTGGAGTGGCCACGTGGTTCAGCTCATCCGAAAAGTGCCAGATGCCCGAAAGATCAGTCAGTTTCGCCCGATAGCCCTGATTTCGGTGTTGCAGAAGATACTGAGCATGATGGTGATGGAAACGCAGCGAGGAGTGATCGAATCGCGCCGCAGTGAGAGCCAGTTCGCTTTTTCGTAGAGGTTATCAGGCCCACGAAGACATATATAGCTTGCGTCACTTAGTAGAGAAGTTCTGCGAGTATAAGGACCCCCCACTCGTCGTCGTGGGCGGAGACATCAGAAAGTTTTATGATTTTATTCAGCACGCCGCTCTGGCCCGTCGCCTCGACAGTCATGGGGTCGCACGCGTAGCTATCTCGTTTTGGATCCGTGAAACTTGCCGCTCTCAGGCCAGAGTTCGCCTCCCTGGGAATGCCCTCACGGACCAGATTCGGCGTGGGAAGTCTTTCATCCAGGGGGACCCTGCGGCGCCCGAGCTCAGCAATGTTTTTCTCGACCAGTGTCTTTTCGCTTTCCACGACCCCTGCCGTAAAAATGGCTGGGGTCTTTGTTTGACCACCCCTGGAGAGGAGGATGAGGTCTTAGGTGTCTTGAGTTTCGCCGATAATTTTTGGATCTTAGCGAGATCGGTCTCGATGGCTGCGATGATGACTGAAGCTTGGCTTCGAATCCTTGAGCGTAGTGGTCTAGAGGTCCCTGTGCAGGAAATGGAGTGGTGCCACACGTATCCGTCACATATCGGAACGCTTCGCGTACGTGGCACGTGCGCCCCCTGCAGAGCCAGAGCCGAAGGCTTGAAAGTGCTCGGGACTTTTGTTGCCTTCGATCGCAGCTGCGCACACGAGGTCTGCAACAGAATTCAGCGCGCGTGGCGCACTTGGGCCGTTCACCGTGCAATGCTGACCAATCGAATGATAAGCCTTCAGAAAAGATTGAAGGCCCTGGACCGTTGTGTTCGCCCAGCCCTGACCTATTGCATAGGGGGTCTGCATATTACTGTCTCTGCCATGAGTAGGATCTCTAAATGTCACAATACCATGCTTAGACGCATGATCCGTCCGCCACGCGGAGAATCCGCAGCCGAATATATGAAGACCGCCATGCATTGCGTTGCTAATGTCAGAGCTGATGTCAGAGCTAGATACAATGTAGAATCGTGGCCCCAGAACCTGCAGAAGGATGCAGCACAATTGGGGAGGTTTCTTACAGTCTTTGGGTAGAGCCTGTCCTGAGAGGGTCGCGTACCGCGTCCTTCGGTATCACGATAGGGCATGGATGATAGAAATGACTAGATGGCAGGGCTCCCAGTTGCATCACCGTACAGTCGGGACCTGGCGTTGGGAGCGTGACTTCTATAAGTTTTATGGGGGCCACTGGCTTCTGAAGCCCGTCTCAGGGCTGTCTTGGAGAGAGGGGCAGAAGACGTTGCTTGAATGGCGGAAATCTTTAAGATAATTCTCGACGCTGCTACCCTTTAAGTTTCTGTGAGCGGCGTCGGGCCCAGGAGGCACCCCTGTATGACGCCTACGCAACGCAACGCAACGTCGTCGTCGTCGCTCGTAGTCGTCGTGGGCGCGGACGCCACGGTGGCGCCGCAACCGCGCGGCGGGGGGGGGCTCATGTCATGCCCCCCCCCCCCTGGCCCCCAACCCCATGAAGTCATCTATCGCCGCGGTTAAAGAAGCGTACTCCTACACTCCGTGTCGCCATGGCTGGATTCGGTGACTCGTCGCTTCTGGTCGGTCTTCCTTCCGCCCGTGTCCGAGGCGGGGTATCAAGTGTGATGAAGTGCCGGCATTCGCTGCCGAGGCAGCGTCGCCTGCTCCAGCGGGGACTCGCGGGAGCCTCCCGAGGCCCCTCTCCTCTGGCGCTCGCGGGCGGCACCCTTGCTGAGACAACGGGTCCCAGGGCCCCCTGCGGTTGTTCGCAGGGGTTCTCTTGAGGACCCCGCCGCGGCTGTGGTGGCGCCCCGGTGCCTCCAATGGTGCCCCCCGGGAGGGTGCTGAGCAGGGCGCTGCTTCGTCCGCGGCCGTGGGCCCGTGGCTGGCGCCGCCGGCTTCCCCGGCCGCCCTCCCTGGCGTGGGTCTGGCGCGGCGGCCAGCGGGGTCTCGAGATCTCTGCGAGGGTCTGTCGGGCGGCCCAGGCTGGGCGCGGCGAGCGCGTGGCCCAGAGGTCGTCTGTGCGGGCGCACTGGGCCACCAAAAGGGGGGGAGGCAGCCCACTGGCATCTGCTCTTCAGCCATGCGGAAGAACTCCACAGGAATCGCGTGAACACAACAGCGCCGCTCTAGCACTGACTCGCAGCACCCATTTGGCATACAGAAGGCGCTTGAAGGCTCGATGGTTAAACGTTGGACAATGCCTTGTATGTTTTGACTCGGACGTCGAAGTCTGGGTGACGCGTGCATCCTATGACATCACGAACGGCGCAAACATCGCCTCCGAGCTCTACTACCTCGGACAAAGGAGGTGGAGGAGGAGGAGGAGCAGGAGGAGGAAGAGGAGGAGGAGGAGGAGGAGGAGGGGGAGAAGGAGGAATCCGTAATCATTTTGGCTCAAGTTCGAAACTTGCGCCGTGGGGCTTCGAGCTTGTCCGCAGCCGCGCGGCAGGCCCGAGGGAGTTTCAGGCGCAGCCAGTCGTTGAGATCTGGCACGGGGGATGCAGCGGCACCCACCACTTTCGCAGCGGGAATTTTCCCGAGTTCCTTTACTCAGACGACGGCTCCCCATCGCGGGGGCTCGTCGGCGCCATGGCTCCTCAGCCTAAGCCTGTGGGTGCTCGGAAGTGTTCGAAGTGCGGCTGTGCCCGCAACAAACCCCACCTGGGCTTGGTGCAAGCACTGCAGAGTCCCATGGAATGATGTCGCAACCGTTGATGTTAAGCAGCAAGGCAGTGTGGCGTGGCAAGCATAATGCCAAACGGTTTTGCGCTACTGCTGCCAACCACCGTTTTCCGCGGAGAGGCACCTATGGTGGAGGTGGGAGAGGATGACCTACTCCAGCTGGTGGTTATTCATCAAAATGCAGGGCGCAGAACGGATATGGAAAACGACCAACACCAGCTCGAGCTCTTCCGCGCCAGGTCGCGACATGCTTTCATGTCGCCCAAAGAGAGCAGACATAGCGCACAACCATATGCAGATTGGAGAAGCAGTTCAGCCACCAGCTGCAGGCACACAGCAGAGTCCTTACGCAATTGGAGTACGATGTTGCCCAGATCAAGTCCATCACCGGCAGCCTCGAGGAGCATGAGGCGGAATACGAATTGGCCATCCGTGAGCTACATGCCGGAGTGCAGGGACCACCGCTGCCATCGTCACCCAGTTCAGCCAGCTGCGTGCTCCTATCAGAACTCAGGGACAGCAAGATGGGTTGCTTTGATGCCAACCGAGGAGACTTGCCCGGCTTCAACGACTACGCGGACCTGTCCAAGAGTGGGCAGGAGGAGGCCGAGCGTCGGATCAGAAGTCGGCCTTCACAGACCAGGCCAAGGCAATGTCCGACAAGGTCAAAAACGCGCGGGCGAGCTCAGAAAATAACAGGAAGAGCATGCAAAGATATTGAAAGAAGACAAGGAAGACGAATGAAGGACAGGCTTCTTGAGGAGGGGAATGTCGTTTTCGAGAAGTGGGATGTCTGCGGCAGGAGAAAGCAAGTCTTCGTCTGCTTCGTCGTTATTGGGTGCAGCATCGGGGCTCCCACGTGGATCTTCCCCACACTCTGATACTCGAGAACGAGCCAGAACCATCCTCACTGCACCAGGGGTCAAGTTCCCGATGCGCCCGTTCGACATGGGCACAGGCAAAGGCGCGAGCGCTGGGCCAGGCTCCTAACGCGGACACTCTTGACCTTGAGGAAGAAAGTGGCATTGATGGAGATGGGCATGCTCAAGTCCCCACCCCCAGGTGCACCCGAGAGGTAGACAGCAAGAGGGGCGGGGCACTGTCGCCGCAAGTCAGAGCGCAAGCCCCTGCCCCCAGGAGCACCCATGAGGTGAGCAGCGCGAGGGGCAGGGCCCAGTCGTCATGTTTTGCTTTTGCAGTTGTGGCCGAAGATGGTGCCAGTGAGGTTTCGTCTTCTGGGGTGCCCGCGGGCCGCCCGAGCGCCGCGGGCCCTCGGGCCGCTGTCGGCGCGAGGGGAGGAGAGCGCGCCGTCGCTGGCGCGGCAGCGTGGGCGGGGCTTCAGCGGACTGGAGGGGCGGCATGCAGGTCAGGGCGGGGCGGGGGGGGGGCAGCTCTGCGAGCAACCCGCAGCCCCGCCCCCGTGCCAGGGGCAGCCGCGCGACCGCCCCATCGAGGTGGACGTGGTGAACGATCAGAAAGTAGCTGAACCTCCTATGCCAAGTGGCGCCAGCAGTGGTACCAGGAAAGCAACGAGGAAGAGTAGCAACAAGCGGTACACAGGCGTGCAGAGTCGATCCGCGCTGACGCTCAATGTCTTATCTTGGGCATGTGTGGAGAATGCACCGCCTCTGCCGACCTCGGACATCCTTCCCATCCAGGAGCGTCGCCTCATGAACGCCAGGTACTCTGGCATGCTGAAGAAGATGGCTCGCCTTGGATGGGTGGTGCATGGAGGGCCCGCGGCAGCTACGGAGGAATGGGGGGAGTCTGGTGGTGCATGCATCCTTGTACGGGCCCACCTTGGCAGCTGAGCCCTTGATGAAGGATCTCGGTCGCAAGGGCGCGCTTCCCGCTGCTATATTAGGTTTACAGGGCTGGGTGCGTGCATGGCTGGCACGGGCTGCATGCGCGATGAGGAAGGCTGAGCACCCCGCAACCTTCGCCTTTGCAAATGTTTGGGTGCAGCTGCGCTTTCGCGCGAAGTGCCGTTCGTGATTGGTGGAGATTGGAACAACCACCCTCATGCGATATGGGGAAATCTTGTCACTAAATTGCTGAACGGCGTAGTGCGAGGTGATGAGCATGCCCGATCATATGTGTTGGACGCGCACGCGCCTCCGATCGATTCCTTTGTGGCCAGCGTGGATTTGGATGTTTTGGTGAAGGGTGTCAGCGCGCTCCAAGATGTTCCTGCCGATCCGCATCGCCCGGCGAAGATGTCGTTCCTGGCACGATCAGGAGATATCAAGGTCCGATCGGAAAAAGCGCACCCAGCCGCGCCAGGGGAAAGAGTGATCAGACCCTTGCTACCAGAACCTGGGCTCGCTGCTGCGCAGGTCAGCCTTAACCTGTTCTTGGATGATGGGCGGCGCCGAACGCTAGTTCACTCGCGACGGCAACAAACGTGATTAATGCGTTCTCAACCGCGCATACGTTATCTGGAATGGATTTCCCGGGGGGAAGTGCTGCGTGTCACTGGGTGCCAGGGCAGAGGCCTCCCTGGTGGCTTCGACATTGCATGGGCCGGCACCCCTCTTTGCAAGTTGTTGTCTGCGAGGTCCTCTGTCACATTGGGCCCGCAGAGGTTTCTGTCTTGGGCCACCGACGGGCAGCATGATATCAGGTCGCTGCATCTGGACTGGCCGCGAGGCACATGACCACTGCTAGTTGCTGGCCATGTTGGAGAAGTTAGATGCCAAGGGCCCATTCTCGATCGCATGGAAAGCGGGATCCAAGGTTTCCAATCCTGTTGTCCAAGTCAGTCGGTCGCCTCCTACAGCGAGAAGATGCCAGTGGGATTGAGTGGCATGAGGTGGCATTTGACTACTGCGCGCACTGCCGCGACAGAGCGGTGGTCTCAGGCAGCTGCATGAGGCGTCGCACATGGCACGAATGGTGCGTCCAGGCCATGGAAGTTGGATCTCGTCGGGCGCATGGCTACCTCAAGGAAAAGATCACCCCCAGGAAGTTGCAACACAGGGAACCTGCTGACATTGCCCTTGACTGCTTCTCACTTGCGTCAAGAATGCATGCTGAGAGAGAGAGAGAGAGAGAGAGAGAGAGAGAGAGAGAGAGAGAGAGAGAGAGAGAGAGAGAGAAAAAAACACAAAAAAAATAGAAAGAGAAAGAAATCGAGAGAGAGAGAGAGAGAGAAGTTGGCGAAGGCATGGGGCTGCAACAGCTCCAAGTCTGAGCGCCCACGTTGCGGCGAACATCGGGCCCCTGTCACGACGCCCCCATCGGCTCAGCTCGTGATGGGTGTCAACAAGAGGTTCAAACTAAATAGTTGCCAGCCTGGCGGGTGGCTCCGCAGGGATTGCAGCGTGTTTGGGGAACAGACTAGCTCGTCGTCGGGCGAGTTGCTTCTTCCGATGGAGACGGTCATCCCCCAGAATCCGCGCAGAAGTTGGTCATTCAATTCAATCACAAACCCTTCGGAGGACGCCGACCACTAGGCTTCTACCCAGCGGCTGCCAGGATTGCAGGACGCCCGTGGCGTCTGCGTCTGCGCCGCTGGGAAAAATGCGCAGGATTGGGTGGGCAGCATCAAGGCCGTGGCCCGACTGATTCTGCGTGGCGACAGGCGGTGATTTCGGAAGGCACAAACAACGTGGGCCTCTATTGCATTTCTGTGCTGCGGGGCCTCCTCCCGTTCTACGAGACAGTACCTTGGGACTGTTGGCAAAGAGTTGCTCTACTACGACTTCCCCCATCGTTGCGCTGGCGATTGCAGTGCAAATTGACCAGTGGCCACGCTGTCTTGTATACGACGGTATGCTGGCGGACCCCCTCGACCCCGACATGGGGCATCGCGGCTGGAACTGCCGGTGCTGGGCTCGAGGCGAACATGGCGTTCATTCCGGTGATGGCCGATGACAGTGAGAGCAGGGGGAGAAGAGCCAATGGCCTGCTCCCCCTTCGCGTCGGTGACGTGTCTCAACATGGGCGGGGTGAGTCCTTGGTTGAGGTGCTTAGGCATGCGCGGGAACATGTGCGCAGACTTGGTCATGGAATGCAGCCGCAGTTGGGGCTGCCGCTTGCAGTGCACAAGCTCAGCATGGTCACTTCCTCTTGACGCATGATGGCCCTGGCTGGGCACATGCATGGGCAGCTCGGAGGACATGGCGAATGCGTCCTACGTAACCTTGGAGTGGTCTTCGCTGGCGGGAAGCATCTTTCCCACCCGAAGGCGCACGCGACCAGGGCCCAGAGGTGGATGATGATGGTTTGCAACTAATAGAAGCTAGGCACCATGCGTTCCTCAAAAAGTCGGCATGCTACCAGTTTTGCGACTTCCAGCACGGTGCCGGCGGTGCTGCATGGTGGACACGTCCGCGCGTTCAGTCCGTCGCATGTGCTACGACTAAGAGCGCGCTTCTCCAAGTCGAATGGCATGTCATTGAGCTTGCAGCGAGTACGCGTTCTTTCAGGTAGTGTGCTGAATGGTTGATATCATCTGCTCCTCGGCCTGTTTTTACAACGGCGACATGCTGATGCCCTAGGGCTACCTGTGCTGACCAGGCTGTTCCTGGCTGCCCAATCAAACTCTAACCCCGAGGCTGCTGCCCAACATTGGTTGAAAGACAGCAAGGGGCCGCTCAGCGACGTTCTCCTCTGGTGTTTGGAGGTGGGGTGGACGGTTCTCGGGCCTACCTCCATCCTTGACCTCGAGGGGATTACCCTCGATGCGTTGAAGTTGGCCCCTGCTTTCATTGCCATGATATTTGAGCAGCAGTATAAGAACAGTAGGAATCATATTGTTGCTAAGCTAGCTTCCCGCACCCATCCCAGCCCATGCAGCTCCCTAGTTAATGAACGCGGGCTCGAGTGGTAGTTGGCGGCTTAAGTGTTTGCCGTCATGCATGATATATTTATACATATACATATACATATACATATACATATACATATACATATACATATACATATACATATATATATATATATATATATATATGTATATAGCCACGAGAAGTTTCAGCTGCCAGGCAAATTATTGGGTGTGCGACCCCGACGGCCACGAAACTCCTATCCTAGGGTTACTCGCTGGCGTTTGAGCGCAGGTTTGGTTGCGGGGTTCCTGACACCGCTTTCCGTCGAGCCTGGCAGTGCGTCCATGGTAGGAGTTAGAGAGATGAGGTTCTCTCCCAGGAGACCGTCGTCCAGGCACTCGAGGCTGGAGAGTTCAGTTTGTTGTTCTCTCGATGCTTGGCGGCGTGGCTCCCAGCTGACCCGCCAGCTGAAGGCTGGGGCGTCAAATTCTATGATACAGGTCTCACAGTGGCCCCCTTTGAATTCTCGCCTGAAGACAAACGCTATTCGGACGGTTTCTGCCTGAGGCCGAATGCGAGATACTTGGCAAGGGCTGTTTGGGGAGTGGGTCACGTGGATGCCCAGAGGGGCCTGGTCCGAGGTACCGATGGCCATGTCCCAAGGATATTCGGCCAAAGCAGTAGAGTAGGATAGTTAAGAGGTGATATAATGGCCTGCCTTCACACCGAGCGTGCAGATAAACGTGTTGGCGTTGAGCCGCTGGCCGTGGACTTCGCGGCCCTGCTTCGGGGACAGGCCCATCCTGACCAGGTTCTGTCGTCCAAGTGCGACGCTGCACATTTTGGGCGCGAGGGCGCGGCGACTCTCGAGGTAGGAGAACGGGTGACCTTCCACCAAGTGAAGGCACACACGGCGGAAAAATCCGCCAGATCGGAGCAGGATAAACTAATTGTTTGGGAACAAAGCGGCTGACTGGCTCGCGGGCCAAAGTGCTCGGTCCCACGATGTTGTGCCTGGTTTCTCCGAGGAAATTGTTTTGACTTGCAAGCGTTTTCGTGCGCTGTTGCTGGGGATGGGTCAAGTCCTTGCCCTGTGGCCCTCCCCAGCAGACTTGTTCGGTGAGCTAGATCAGGGATTTGCGAGACCCCGTCGTGGCAGGTCGTCCGTGTCACCTCACATCCCGTATTGGTACATCGACCATTGGCGTTGTAGCAGCTGTCTTAAAACTGTTTCGGCTCTCGTCAAGGTACCATGTAGTGGCCGGAATCCCTCTATGTTCGACGTGTTGCGCACCCCAGGACACGTCGGCTACTCTCTCCATGTCGCCTTTGTTGTGGAGTCAGGTTTCCCCGTGGTCGTTTGTTCCAGGTGCGGTGCGTTCGGAATTCAGAAAGCCATCGAACTTTGGTCGAGGTGTGAGCTTAATAACTGTAAAGAGAAGCGTGCCCTCCTGAATGGCAGGTTTCACAGTACACCGTGCCGAATTCATTCCCCCCAGCTGGTAAGCGGGACCGCCCCAGGGGAATTCGTCATTCACTTACAGCCTGGCACAGTGCCCACGAGTCAGCTGTGCTAGGTATGGCTGGTTTTTCTGGTACCCACAGTACCCACAGGAGAAAGATGAGGAGGAGGAGCAGGTGCAGGAGCAGGAGAAGGACCAGTAGGAGGAGGATGGGGAGGAGGAGGAGGATGATGAGGAGGAGGAGGAACAGGGGGGGAGGAGCAATTGGAGGAGGAAGGGGAGCAGGAGCAGGAGCAGGAGTAGGAGGAGGAGAAGGAGGAGGAGGAGGAAGAGGTGGAGGAGGAGCGATAGGAGGAGGAAGAGGAGGAGGAGGAGCAGGAGCAGGAGCAGGAGCAGGAGGAGAGGAGGAGGAGGGAGGGGGAGGACGGAAGAAGAGAAGGAGGAAGGAGGAGAGGAGGAGGAGGAGGAGGTGGAGGAGCAGGAGGTGGAGGAGCAGGAGCAGGAGGAGCAGGAGCAGGAGGAGGAGAAGGAGGAGGAGGAGGTGGAGGAGCAGGAGGTGGAGGCGGAGGATGAGGAGGAGGAGGACGACGAGGAGGGTAGGGAGGAGGAGAAGGAGGAAAAGGAGGGAGGAGGAGGAGGAGGAGGAGGAGGAGGAGTCGCAGCGCGCCCGCCAGGCTGGAGCCGAGGGCGGCGCCGTCGGCGACGCCCCGCCGCCTCCCGACGGGCCGGCGCCGGGCGGCGGGCCCCCCGTGCCGGGGGCCGCGGGCCTGCCAGCGGCCGGGGGCGCGGCGGCGCCAGGGCCGGCCGAGGCCGGTGCGGGCCAGGGTCCTCCTCCTCCTCCTCCTTCTCCTTCTCCTCCTCCTCCTCCTTCTCCTCCTCCTCCTCCTCCTCCTCCTCCGCCTCCTGCTCCTTCTCCGCCTCCTCCTCTTCCTCCTCATTCTCCTCCTCCTCCTCCTCCTCCTCCTCCTGCTACCTGTGCCTGCTTGTTTGTGTGTCCCCTCGCGTCGGCTTGCCTTTAGCCCTACCAGACAATGTTCTAAGAGCCTTTGTCGTGGTTTCCACGAAATGTTCTTGGAACATTTCTGGCGGAGTCTGTCCTGGTTTGACACATCGGGTCTTATGTTCTAAGAACGTCGTTTTTGTTCTTGGGACAGTGCCGGCCTGTCAGTCAAGCAGCGGCGATAAAACGACGCGAAGATCGGGACAAAATCGGATCGGGGTAACTCGAAATCTCTGAGAGTCGGCGGGTTTGGAGGATGTATTGGGCGCCGCGGCCGCTCCAGAGCGTTCCGGAACGCTCTGAGAGCGCTCCGCAACGCTCTGGAGCGATTTATCCTGATCCTAGCCCTGTTTCAGGCGAAGCGTCGTGGCTCGCCTATAGCGTCCTGTTCCAAAAACCTTATGGTTTCCACGACATGTTCTTAGAACATTTCTGGCGGAGTCTGTCCTGTTGTACCACATCGGGTCTATGTTCTAAGAACATCGTTTTTGTTCTTGGAACATGTTTGGGTTCTGAGAACATTGCGTGGTAGGACTATAGGAATGCCGGGACGGTCGGTCCCTGCTCAAGGCATGTCAGCGGACGCCGCCGCGAAGTGCGCGTCCGCGCGAACCAAGAACCCAAACATGATCGCGTCGTGTAAAAAACCATCCGGGCGGCAAGTCTTTTCACCAGTTTTCAGCCTCGGGGGGGCCCTCGCTGGCCCCCGGGAACGTCAAAACACGACTTGTGGGGACGCCGTGCTGAAATAATCGGGACGACGCATGTTTGGGAAGAGGGGTCCAGGGTGAGGGGGGATGGGCAAGCGCTTTCCACGACTCGCAAGGTCGACTACACACTAGAGGGATCCTTCGCAGAAGTGACCTTCTGGTGTGGGCTCATCAGGGTCTCCCGATCGCCGCGATGCGGTAGTAGCGTCTCGCGCGCTCGTGGTTGGTTCCCCCCGCGGCCCCCCAAAAGCCGCGCACCAGAGGTCACTCCTTACCCAGGGTCACTCTTGCGTGTAGTCGAAGTTATCAGCCGCGCGCGAAGGGGTCCAGGGTGAGAGGGGATAGACAAGCGCGTTTCACGACTAGCAGCAAGTAAATGCGCGCACATGCCCTGGGTCTGCCGCGGGAGATGTACGATCCTTGACAGAAAAGACGGCATGTTTTTGCAGACGTTTGCGAGTAGGCGTTTTGCGAGTAGTGGGACGCGCTCGGGGAGGGGAGGGCGTCATAGAAGCATCCCTGCATCTTAGAAGGCGGGGACTTTCTCTGTAGATGCAGGGCTGGCGCCTTCTGAGTAGCAGCCTCATTCTAAGAAGCCTCCCCCCCCCCTGGTGCGCGCCGCCAAAGTCATGTTCCTAGACATGCTCGCGTCGTGAACAAGTCATGGCTGGAGGTTCTTGGTAGTTTTCAGCCGCACGGGGCTGTCAAAAAACGGCTCAGGATGAAGAACCGGTCCCGTCCCGGGGAAAGGGTCGGGGCTTCTGGGGACCCTGGATTGAAAAACGCAGGCCGTCGCATCGTTCAGAGTCGGGCGAATGAGTCATTTGCAAAGGGGATCTCGAAACTGCACGCAGGAGTTCGTACGATCGTTCGTGCTGGATCGTACCAGATTCAGGGGGGAAAAAACACACAGACAATTGATCGTCGATTCCCCAGAAGATATGGGAAAATATTGGAAGTGGGGGGGAAGACGAAAACCTAGAAAATATGGGAAAATATTAGGAATATTTTTATTTGTGTGTATTTATTTGTGTGTCCTGGGGCCCCTTCACAGATGCGGGCCGAATTCGTTCCATTTGGCATTCTTGGTCTGTGAGAGAGGCCACGCGCCATGAACCACAGCATGCACTGTTGCGTCTTGACGTTTATGACTCCATCACGAAAGACCCTTCTGTTTGCCAGGAGTCAATCTCGGGGGCTCTCCTGTCCTGTAAATGGCAGTCTTTTATTGTACCCCCCACGTGGTTTCGGCGCGGGTTTGGCGAAGCGGGTTGGGCGTGAATGCAGCGTGACGCCGGCATGGATGCGCGACACGGACTCGACACGGGTTGATGGTGCGATGGGACAGACAAGGCCCCCCAAGGATGCAACATACACAATGCAAAGCCCAAACATCAAATGAGAAGGAGACAACCATGCGGTTACCTAGAATGTCGACCATGTGTTCTTTCACTCCCGGCGGATTTCCTGGATTTCAACCTCGGGGGCCCGTCATGGTGCCCAGGGCCATTCAAAGCGGATTCTTGAGCGCAAAGCCACCCCGCGGGGAAGGGGTCGGCACATCCGGGGACCTCTGGGGCCGCAGACAGATCAGGAGCGTCAGGGAAAGCCAGCCACCCGGCGCCTCGACGAGGCAGCTGCGGACATCCAGCGCCTCGAGAGTCACAATCGGTGCTTTCGTTTCGTTTAAATAATATCTATACATTTATATATAGAGAGGGTATACATATATACATATATATGTATGTACCGATGATATATATATATATGCATATATATATATATATATCAGTATATATATAAATATATAGAGAGAGAGAGGATCCAGTTATACATACACATATACATATATGTATATATATGTATATGTTGACACATACATATATATATATATATATATATATTACACATTTATACATTTATACATATATATGTATATATTCACATACAGAGAGGATATAGAGAGATTGCATATATGTATATATATACATTTATGTAAAGGATGCATATATATATATATATATATATATACACGCACACTGAAACATAGAGTCAAAATCTGCGCTTTGCCCTTTCGCCCTCGTGCCAAGGGGCCCTCGCCGGGCCCCCGGGGTCCGAGGCCGGCCGGCCTGCCGGCGCCGGCCTGCGGGCGCCGGCCGCCGCGGGGCAGGCGCGGGCATCGGGGGGGGTTCGAGGGCCGAGCGTCGAGGTCCCGAGGGATGTGTCGGGCCGGGCGAAAGAGCTTGTTTTTTTGGACTCAGGCAAGTTTACTTGCATGGCGTTCGCCCCCCCCCCCCGCCCCCCTCGCCCCTCTTCAAGCGAATACTAGCGTGCAAGTGCCTTTCGACCTGCGTGATTTCCGCGCCCCCACCCCCCAGGCTTGCTTCAGGCTCAGCCCCCCCCCCCCCCCCCCGTCCATGCAAGTAAACTTGCCAGAGTCTAAAAAGAAACAGGCTCAAAGTCAGAGCCCCGAATCATCAGGGGTAACTCGGGTCAGGGTTAACTCGGGTTCGTTTTTCGGGAATCCGAGCCCGAGTTGTCCGGGACCCGAGCTACCCCAGATAACTCGGGCGTCCAGGGCCCCACATCATCAGGGGTAACTCGGGTCAGGGCTAACTCGGGTTCCTTTTTCGGGAATCCAAACCCGAGTTACCCCGGACCCGAGTTACCCCGGATAACTCGGGCGCCCAAGAAAGAGAGGCGTCGCCGCGGTCGTTGTCCAGTCGAGACAGAGAAGGCCACCTGCCCACCGGCGGCCGCTGTCGGCTTTGGAGAACCTCTGGCTGTTGGGCACAGCGTGCCCAGCTCTCCCGAGCCAGTGCCGCCAAATTCTGGGCGTCCGAGATGTTTCTCGGGGACAGCTCCCCAGAAACGGGCCGGACAAAAGGGGGATAGGGAAAGGGGGGGCTACGAAATCTGCTGCATGCAGCTGGTTTCGGCCTCACCGAGGGGCCCATTCCTCGATGCATGGCCGCCTCTGGCGCCGGGAGGCGCCGGGAAAATCAGCTACGTGAGCTGATTCTCAAACGCCCCCTCTGCTCCCCCCCTTTCGCTCGACCTGATACAGGAGGAGTACTCAACAATAGTCAGAAAATAGTCTGGGGACCATGTTGGGGTATTTTTGTGGAGCATTGTTGGGGTATTTTGAATTTTTCCTCCCAAATCCCCCTGTAAGGGGGACAGGCCCGACTTAACGCTTCGGGTACGGCCTCCAGGATAGTTCGGGGGTGATACTGGGATGATCGTGGGGGGTTCTAAGTGGATAGGGGGGTTACAAGTGGATGCTGAGGTGGGTAATATCTGGCCCAACCTGGCTCATGAGTGGGTCACAATTTCCCCGAGTGGCTCAGGGGGGCTAGAGAACTCGGCTAAGTGGGCGGAGCCCACTGAGCCTAGATTGTTAGCCCCCCTAAGCTACTTGAGGCACTCAACCAGGTTGGGCCAGATATAACCCACATTGGCATCCACTTGTAACCCCCCTATCCACTTAGAACCCCCCACGGTCATCCCAGCAAACCTCCTATTACCCTGACACGTCGATCAAAGAATTTGACGTTTTCGCTTCGCGAGAGGGCGTCGCGGCAGTTATCTTTGGGGGTCCAGGTCCGTCGGTTTCGGTCCTAGGCCGTGCTCACTAATGGGAGTTTTACAAAGGGAGGTTTGTCCACCGCCGAATCGTGAGCGTTTTTGTTATTCGTTCTTTTTCCGATCAGCGCGGGCCCTCGCTGTTTTTGGCGCCTGTTTCGAGCAGGTGGAGTCTCCCCCCACAGGACGCACGGTCCCAAGCAGTTACACTGAGCAGAGGTCCAGAGCCAGGCCTGCCCCACTCCCCCCCTTCTTCCGCCCAATGTCGAAACGCCGGATAAACAAATAATCACGTAGCTCAAAGACGGCCCAAGAGGCCTCCAAGAAGGCCCCCAGGTCGGCCCAAGAGAACTCCAAGATCGCCCAAGAGCCTCCCAAGAGGGACCCCACTCGAGCGAGCGCTCCAAGATGGCACTAAGACGGCCCAGCGAGGCTGGCGTTCCACGTGGAGTGCCGCCGGCGACCTGCCGTTGAACGTTCAAGGTCAGAGACCAAGGCCGAAGTCGGCACGGCACAAAACCTGCCGTGGGTTCCCAGCGGTTTTCCAGACTCAGGGCGCTCTTATGCAGCTGCACCTCGCAGAGGGCGTTGTTCTCGGGCGTGCCCGGATCGTCGTGGGCGGCTGCCGGAGGCCCGATTGATGCCCGAAAACCACCCAGGTGGCGATCCTTGGGAACAAGAAGGGTCCCTGTTACAATTTGGTGCTGGGGACAAACAGTGCAGCAAGATCTTCGAACAAAAGCTACACAAAACGCAACACAAAAGAAAACAAATAGTGCAACGAAATTGATCGTTCGGTGATTCCCTGTGAAAGCCCATTGGGGGCTGGACCAGCAGATGGTGCAACGAAAAGTGTCCACGGAGACGACGTCGTCCGCTCGGTACGGCCATGTGTTCTTAGTTGTCTTGTGTCGTGTGTTGTTTGTTCCCTACCTAGGCTCTGCCTAGAAGGGTTTTTACTCGGTATGCTTAAAGGGCCGGGCAGTGCAACTCGCCCCGGGCGGTTCCCCCAGTATCCGCTCCGCGGTTCCCCCAGTGACGTTCCCTTAGCTTAGCTTATTGCTTATCTCATCTTGGCTTGGCTTATTTCATCTCAGCTCAGCTTCATCCCTGCCTAACTTAGCTTCATACAGATGTTGCTTTCCTAGATCCTCCAACTCCTAGGTAGGGTCGCACTGGGATAATTGTGTTTGTGGCTTCTGTTTCGAGGGATCCCACGCGTGAAACACCAGACGTCCTCGCGTTGCGAATCCACCGCGAGGCGCGGTTTTTGCTCCACGGGGGGCCCTCGTCGGGCCGCGGGGCCGCGCGCAAGAAGGCGACTCGGGACGACAAGCCGGCCCCAGGAAGAGGTCCAGAGCTCCAGGGAGCCACTCTGTGACAAACCACGGCGTCGTGATTCTGCCTGGGCCTCCAGCGTCTCGAAGAAGTCAAGATCGAGTTTGTCAGTTTGTCCGTCGCGTTCGGCCTCCGGTGGTCCTCGCCTGGCCGTCAAGAGACGGCAGCCTTAGGCATAGGGTCGGGTCTCCGCAGGACCCCGCGCACCGGATCTCTGGGAGCGGGTCCTCGGAGGGAAACGGGCCTCCGCGTGTTTCTTTTGCTGACAATCCTGGGGCCCGGCGGGGGCCTCCAGAGGCCTAAGACAACGAAACAGACATCTACGTTTTCTGTTTCGACACGACGGTGGATGTTTGGGATTCTTTCATGCCGAGGACGGTGCCGTCGTGGTCTGCCGCTTGAAGGAGGGGACCTCGGGAGCCTGCGACGAGGACGAGCTGTTCGCGTATCGCCTGGTGGACCTGGTCTGGCCCGGGACCGGCCCCACGAGCCCGGAGGTGGCCGCCGGGAGGGCGCTGCACCACTACGAGGGCGTGCCCCACAGCAGGCGCGAGCTCGTCCTGAGGCTGGGCTCGGAGGAGCCCTGGCGGAGGTCCGCAGCCTGAGACGCTGGCGGGGTGCTGCGTCGGGGGCTGCCACAGGTGCCCCTGACCCAAGGTTCAAGTCGGGCCTGTCCCCCTACAGGGGGATTTTCGACGAAAGATAAAAAATTGCACCAAAATTTATCAAACAATAATGCAAAAATGGTCTGGGGACTACTGTTTGAATATTTTTGTTGACCCGTTTTGGGGTATTTTTGATGTATTTTTCATTTTTCGTCGAAAATCCCCCTGTTGGGGAACACGCCCGACTTAACCCAAGGTGCCCCTGGCTTGTCGCTTCATCTTGGAGCCCCTGTCCTTGGAAATCCTGGGGGCACCTTCCTGGGAAATTGGGAAATCCTTGGAAAACTTGGAAATCCTTGGAGATCCTGGGGGCACCTTGGGTCAGGGGCATCTCTGGCAGCACCAGACTCGGGTGGCCCAGCGCGGGTCCCTGCCAGCAGGAAGGGGGGCGACGGGGGCCCCCCCTCGTCGCCACGGCTGGGCGTGGCTCGAAAAACTCAAGCGCATCTGTCGGTATCCCCCTCTCTTGACAGATTGTTCCTTATGTCTGTCCAGCTGAGACCCTCTGGGCGCCTAAAATATCTATAACCCCCTCCGGGGGATCTGTGCCCGGGGGCCTCGGCAGGCGGTAGACATGGATATATATATATATATATGTATATATATATATATATATATGTATATATACATATACATAGATACACATATACATACATACATACATACATACATACATACATACATACATACATACATACATACGTACGTACGTACGTACGTACATACATACATACATACACACATACATACATACGTACGCACGTACGTACATACATGTTATGCATATATACATAAATAAATGCATACATGTATACATACATACATACATACATACATGCATACATACATACATACATACATACACACATACAACCATACAACCATACACACACATACATACATACATGCATGCAACCATACACACATCCATCCATATATACATACACACATACATACACACATACATACACACATACATACATACATGCATACATGCATACATTCATACATGCATGCATTCATACATTCAGACACATACATACATGCATACATACATACATGCATACACACACATACATACATACATACATACATACATACATGCATGCATGCATACATACATACATACATACATACATACACACATACACACATACACACATACACACATACCTACGTACACACACATACATACATACATACATACATACATACATACATACATGCATGCATGCATGCATGCATGCATGCATGCATGCATGCACACATACATACATACACATGCATGCATGCATACACACACATACATGCATACATATAGGCCTCAGCGCCCACCATGAACCCCCCTTTTCTCTTGGAATATGCCAAGAAAAAAGGGGGGCGGGCGCGGTTGGATTTTCGGGTGTCGCGTCGTGTTGTGGTGGTTGGATCTGGAGTACTTGTGTGTGTGGTGGAGACGGAGGGAGCCTGTTGAGTATCGGGTGTTGTGTTGGAGAAGGAGGCTGTTGAGTACTAGGCGTTGTGTTGGAGACGCAGGGAGTTGAGTAGAAGGTTATTTTCAAGTTCAGCTTGGGGAGGGAGCCTGGTGAGTATCGGGTGTTGTGTTGGAGAAGGATGCTGTTGAGTACTGGGTGTTGTGTTGGAGACGCAGGGAGTTGAGTAGAAGGTTATTTTCAAGTTCAGCTTGGGGAGGGAGCCTGTTGAGTATCGGGTGTTGTGTTGGAGAAGGAGGCTGTTGAGTACTGGGTGGTGTGGTGGAGACGGAGGGAGTTGAGTAGAAGGTTATTTTCAAGTTCAGCTTGGGGAGGGAGCCTGTTGAGTATCGGGTGTTGTGTTGGAGAAGGAGGCTGTTGCGTACTGGGTGTTTTGTTGGAGACGGAGGGAGTGGAGTAGAAGGTTATTTTCAAGTTCAGCTTGGGGGGGGAGCCTGTTGAGTATCGGGTGTTGTGTTGGAGAAGGAGGCTGTTGAGTACTGGGTGTTGTGTTGGAGACGCAGGGAGTTGAGTAGAAGGTTATTTTCAAGTTCAGCTTGGGGAGGGAGCCTGTTGAGTATCGGGTGTTGTGTTGGAGAAGGAGCCAAGCCATTTCTGGGGCTGGTGGAAACGGCTGCACTTGCAGTGGGTGAACATCGCTCCGAACTTGAGCCCAAGAAGTCTTCCAAAAAAGAGCGTCAACATTGAGTCCGAAAATCGTAGGAATCATATCTAAATTCATATATAATCATGAGAAAGGGGGGTTCTTGGTGGGTTCGGAGGGCCATATATACATACACACATAAACATAGATGTATGGATCCCAGGACCGATATCGATCCATCCATACCCACCACCCACGGGAGTCCCAGGACTTCGTTTTTCCATGCGGTTGATCTGGATATCTTCCCGCCTCGCAGAGGAGGCCGCCCGGAAGGAGTGGGGCAACGACGTGGCCGACTGCTCGGCCTTCGCGAGTTGCGTGCGCGGCCACTTTCTCCACGCCAGGTAAGCGAAGAACAAAAGTTGGGGTCGACTACCCCGACATTCGCGCCTATTCTGCCCGCGGAAGGTCGTGCGTGAGTGCCTCGGTTTCCAGCGTAGCATGCCTCACTGGCGTCCCGCCGGGGCCCAGTTCGGCTCGATCGATCCGATTCGATGCCGAGCCTACTGGGCTCGGTCCGATTCGATTTCGACTCCCTGGTGATCGGACGCAAGACAGCTGCTTGCACAGCGCAAGGATACAGTCGGGGCGCTGATGAAGGAACCCTTCTCGTTGGCGAGGGGCTCGGTGTTCCTTGATTGTTTTACAGTTTGCGTTGGGTTTTCCATGGGATATCGAAGTTTAACTTATGGGAAAAAGGGGCCTCGTTCCTTATTTAGGGTTCCTTAGGTCAACGCCCCGACTGTACGTGCAGGCGCCGCCGATCCGAGTCGATCCCGACTCCGTGCCCGGATGGCCTGAGGTCTAGTAGTGCCTGCTGCGATCCGATCCGAGTTGGCTGTTCGATGCCGACGGCGCCCGCGTGAGCCACCGCGTCTCGTGGCCCACCTCCTCCTCCTCCTCCTCCTCCTCCTCCGATGTGTTGTCCTTCAGTCGTGTTTTGACGGTCCCTCCGCTTCTCTCTCCCCCCCCGCGGCCGCCCGCCCCCCGGTTCCTTTCTCCTGCACGCTGGCCAGTTCGTTTCTCGGTGCCCGTCTAGCTTCTTCGCTGGTGCTGCCATCCCAGGCCCGGATATAATGGCCCCTGGGAGGCCGAACACCAGGAGAAGACCGAGTCTCGATGATTCTCGGGGGCGGCCAAGAGGGGGGCGATGACTACGGGGGGTGAGGGGTTATGATAGCTCTCCTGATATCATTGCGCCTCTTCTTATTTCAATGCGTCCCTGGGCCGCGCACTTGCCGGCGGCCATGATCTGCGGCCCCTCCCTCTTGGACGCCCCCCTCTTTCTTGGCCGCCCCCGAGATTCGAGACGCTGGGTTGCTTGGAAGGTCGCTCCTTGCCGGCGGCGAGCCCAGAAGCCGGCGGAGCTTCCCAGACGCCCTTGTGCTTTCCGAGAAGTCCTCTGTCTCTTCGGGAAAGCTTCAGACAACATGTTCAGACGCCCCGAGGCCTTCCGAGATTGCTGAGAAGGTCCGCCCCTTCTGCTGTTCGGTATCCGAGCATGAGCCCCCTTGCCAACCGCAGCAAGCCAGCTCTCGCTCCGAAAGACCGTCAGAAGACCGCCGAAGACCGCAAGAAACACCCGAAAGCAGCCGAAGACCGCCCGAGGCAGATGGGCAACAGGGGGTCCATGATCGAATGCGCAGCCTCTGCGACATCTCCCTTGGGCTCGTCGCCGAACGTAGTCTCGCACAAAGGCCAGTTGTTCGTCCTCCTCCTGCTGCTCCTCCTCCTCCTCCTCCTCCTCCTCCTCCTCCTCTTCCTCCCCCTTTCTCCTCTTCTCCCCCCTCCTCCTCTTCCTCCTCCTCCTGCTCCTCCTCCTCATCGTCGTCCTCCTCCTCCTCCTCCTTCTCCTCCTCCTCCTCCTCTGTGTCCTCTCTTTTTATCATCCCCCTCCTCCTCCTCGTTCTCCTCCTCCTTCCCCTCCTTGCCCTTGCTCCTCCTCCTCCTGCTCTCGCTCCTTGTCCTCCTCCTCCTCCTCATCATCATTATTCGCCTCCTCTCCTCATCCGCCTCGCTTCTCCTCCTCCCCCTCCTTCTCTTCCTCCTCCTCCTCCTCCTCTCCTCCTGCTCATCCTCCTCCTCATCCTCCCCTTCCTCCATTCCTCCTCCTCTATTCCTCCTCCTCCTCCTCCTCCTCCTCGCGTCTCATCCTCTTTCCTCCTCTCTTCTTCCCCCTCCTCTTCCTCCTCCCCTCCCTCCTTCTCTCCTCCTCCTCCTGCTCCTCCTGCTTCCTCTCCTCCTCCCCTCCTCCTCCTCCTCCTCCTCCTCCCTTCCTCCTCCTCCTTCTACTCCTCCCCCTTGTTCTCTCCTCCTCCTCCTCATCACCACCATCATCATCATCATCATCATCATCATCATCATCATCATCATCATCATCATCATCACCATCATCATCATCATCATCATCATCATCCTCATCCTCATCCTCATCCTCATCCATCATCCTCTCATCCTCATCCTCATCCTCCTCCTGTCCTGCTCCTCCTCCTCCTCATCCTCCTTGTCATCCTCCTTCTCATCGTCCGCCTCCTCCTCCTCCTCCTCCGCCTCCCCCCTCCTCCTCCTCTCCTCCTCCTCCTCCTCCTCCTCTCCTCCTTCTCCTCCTCCCCCCTCCTTCCTCCCCCCCTCTCTCCTCCTTCCTCCTCCTCCTCCCTCCCCCTCCTCCTCCTCCTCCTCCTTCCTCCTCCTCCTCCTCCTCCCTTCTCATCCTCCCCTCCTCCTCCTCCTGCTCCTCCTCCTCCTCCTCCTCCTCCTCCTCCTCCTCCTCCTCATCCTCCTTCTCCTATTTGATGCGTGCATGCCTTTCCCCTAAGGCGCCAGAGAGCAGGCCGCTGATATATATATATATATATATATATGTATATATGTATCGCTTCCAGGATCTGGAGTATGCTGTCCTCTCCGTATCCTGGCCTTTTTGGATCAAGAATTCGCATTGGGCGGTGCGAATGGATTTCGATTGGCCTGCAGCTCAGTACGCTTGGCAGGCTGGACTGGCCTACCTGTGGAGCGGAATTTCGCAGGTGCCTGGGCCCTCGTCCTTCTGGATCGTCGAGCTGCCAAACGAGCTGCTTCTCTTGGTACGGGGGCTGTGGTACCTGTACGGCTCGTGGGGGGCGACGGTCGTGGCTTGTCGTCGTCGCGACGCTGGCCGCACAGCTCGGTGCTCCGGCGGAGCAGGCGCCACTAGAGATGCGACCGTGGGCGTGGGTCCAATACGGAAGCGTGGCATTATGACACCAGCTTCTGATCCTGGGGCTTCGGGTGAGTGCGCCGACTGATCCTTTTATCGGCCTTCACTGTGCTGCTCTGTACCGTTGACGCAGACACCTATGAGAAGTATCACTCGTGCGAAGGTGCGGACACCACTGCTATGCATCACGCAGGGGATCGAGCGTCCTATCCTCCTGGGGCTCGTGCGCCGAACGCCTACCGCTTCCGACGGAACCTGAAGCTGGCCAAGCATCAGCAGATCAACCAGACGGCCCTGGACTATTGCTCTTCGGCCCCGGCAGCTGATCACCAACGGCCTCTCCCTCCTGCACCTGATTGGCATGTGTTGGTCCCGCTGATGTTTGTAGGGGCGATCCCTGGTGTACTTCCTGGTGGAGGGCTGGCGGCGACAGATGGTGGCGTTGGTACAGGGGCCGCGGCTCAGGTGAGGTCTGGTGCGAGCCTCGGACCTGGTCCTGCTGCGGGTACCGCAGGTGGGGGGCTGGGTGCGCCCGCTGCGCCTGGTCCTGCTGCGGATGCTGCAGGTAGGGGAATGGGTGCGCTCGCTCCGGCGCCGGCAGCGGAGGGCGCCCCTGTCGCGGGCACGGGGGCTGGCGAAGGTGCTGCGGCCGTGTGGATACTCATCGAGTCGTCCACCGTTGGAGCGCAGGGGACAGTCGTGTCCCCGCTGGCGGGCTCCGGGCTGCAGGGCCCCTTGGGGGTGATGCCGCTGGCGAACGGCACGTGGGCAGTCATCCGCTCCACCTCGGGATCGATCCAGGAGTACGCTGGGCGGGAGGTCGCCTCGGACACCAGGCTGATGGGGATCCTTGCGATGTGTCTGGAGAGAGGCTGATCCGCCAGGGGCGCAACGCCGTCGCCAGTTTCTCGGAGGAGAGTTTCGTAGACTGGCGCATCCTGGGGCCCCGCTCAACGCTGCGTTACTGCAAGTTCCTCGACCGAAGGCAGAGTGGACCGCTTGACCATATCAGTTTTTGGGTGTCCACGCTGAAACTGGCGGCCGACGACTATGGGGTGAGTGACTACGAGGCGGGGGCGGGGGCTATCTACACGATGGCGTGCTGGGGCGGCTTCGATCTGCCAGCCATCGCGGGTGTGGGGCAGATTTTCATGAAGTGCCAGTTGTACGAGTGCGTCTATGTGACGCTCAGCTTCGGCTTCGTCGACGAGAGCGCTGCGCTCCCTGGCCTCGGTCGGGACCACGGCGAGAATAGCTTATGCCCTCGGCTCCTCGGGCACGCGGCGAAAGAGGTGGAGTGGGACGCTTTGGTGCTGAAGCAAGATCGCAAGGCCCGCGAGGATCCGCGGGCCTTGCGGTCATGACGGGCGTGTCTCCGCGCGGGTTGATTCCCCTCAGCGGCTCGCGCGTCTTGAGAGAGGGTCCCAGCAGCGGTGGCCTGCCGGCCGCTGGTGACATGCACATCACGGGCGCAGAGACAGCTCGTCGACGCGATCTTTGTCCCCTTCCCGCCCCTGGTCAAGAGCGCCAGTTCACTTCAGAGGCCAAGAGCCTCAGTCTCACACGTTCGGTGGCCCGTCGTCGCCTTCGGCGGGGTCATGCTGGTTGCGCGGTGGTCGAGGTGGTCCGCGTCGTCAGCGAGCTGTGCGCCGGCCAGCCCGGCCGCGATGATGGTCTGCCGCGGTCAGCCGCTGCGGGTCAGCGGCGAGCCCTGGACTACGCGCGCGACGCTGCGCGGCGGTTCGGTGGTCCCCGGAGGGACTGACTGGCTCAGGAGCCCATGAGGAGTTCCGAGTTCTTCGTGACTGTGCTGGTGAGAGTGCCACAGTCGCTCCGCTCGACTTTGATAATATCAACGGCTCCTCGCTCCCAGACGAAGGGTTCAAGCCGGTGCCGCTTGACGCGCTGGGAGGCGGTGCTGGCCGTGAGATAGTCGAGATGCTGTCCCAGTCCGAGGGTCGGGCTCGCGTCGAGTTCGAGGGCCCGCGGAAGCTGTGCACCGACCCGGCGCTGCGGCCCCCCAAGCTGAATGTCCAGCTGCTGCGGATACTCGAGCGTCGGGACCTCATCGGCTACAGCGCAGACAGGTCGCGCAACGTGGGCGTCTGCTTCATTTTCAAGAAGTCAGGGAAGCTGCGGCGCATCCTGGACGGCGGGCACGCATCCCTGCGCTTCTAGGTCCCTGACAAGGAGGCCTTGGCGTCGGGCGCCAGCTTCGCGGGCCTTCGCGCCGACGGAGGCAAGCCCATCGCGGTAGCGGAGGTCGACCTGGCGGACGCCTTCTACACGATGCTGCTCCCGCCAAAGATTCGACGATACTTTGCGGTGCCTGGGCGTCGAGCTGGCCTGCTGGGGCTCGACCGCGCCACTGGCGGGCGCCAGCTCAGCGGGACAGACATGGTCTACCCGCGCTCCGGCTGTCCGCCATGGGTTGCTCCCTCAGCCTCTGGATCTGCCAGGCCATGCTGGAGGCGACCGCCCTGCGCGCGCTGCAGCTCACCGCCTCGAACAGTTTTGTTGACCGACGGCCCGTGCCTCAGGTTACCCATGGGGCAGCGCACACAGCGCGCGTGGACAACGCGCTCAGTTTGTCGACGGACCAGGAAGTCGCTCGTGCTGCCGCCCGGGATGCGGGCGCCCAGCTCAAGGCCGCGGGCCTGCCGACCCACGGTGGGGAGTGCAGCTTCGGGGCCGCGGCGCTGGGCTGGCAGTTCGGTGAGAAGTTCCCGATCATCGGCTTGAGCCCTGCGCTGCGCGCGGGCAAGAGCAGGCCTCCAAGGTTGAGGCCGCCAGTCCAGTTGCCGACCACTGACCGGGCTCGGCCAGCAGCGGCGCGGAGTGCCCTGCTAAGCTCGAGTTTCGAGTTTCACGCGATCAGGGGCGAGCGCCCAGGGCGAGCGAAGATGATGTGCAGCTCGCGCGTGGCAATGTCACTGCCATGGGGGACAAGGTGTGGCAATTTGCCCAGGAGGCCCACTCTATCCAGCGCTTCGTTTGTTTGCCTTCTCGAGACTCATGTCTCTCGCTCAGGGCTGAGACAGCTGCTTCGGAAAGCCCGTGCCGATAAGCTCCGTCTCATTGCCAACCCCGCCGGGGCAAAGAACAGGCATGTCTGTGCTGTTGGCGCCGGTAAAGCCACTTCCCGCCCCTGGTCAAGAGCGCCAGTTCACTTCAGAGGCCAAGAGCCTCAGTCTCACACGTTCGGTGGCCCGTCGTCGCCTTCGGCGGGGTCATGCTGGTTGCGCGGTGGTCGAGGTGGTCCGCGTCGTCAGCGAGCTGTGCGCCGGCCAGCCCGGCCGCGATGATGGTCTGCCGCGGTCAGCCGCTGCGGGTCAGCGGCGAGCCCTGGACTACGCGCGCGACGCTGCGCGGCGGTTCGGTGGTCCCCGGAGGGACTGACTGGCTCAGGGGCCCTTGAGGAGCTCCGAGTTCTTAGTGACTGTGCTGGTGAGAGTGCCACAGTCGCTCCGCTCGACTTTGATAATATCAACAGCTCCTCGCTCCCAGACGAAGGGTTCAAGCCGGTGCCGCTTGACGCGCTGGGAGGCGGTGCTGGCCGTGAGATAGTCGAGATGCTGTCCCAGTCCGAGGGTCGGGCTCGCGTCGAGTTCGAGGGCCCGCGGAAGCTGTGCACCGACCCGGCGCTGCGGCCCCCCAAGCTGAATGTCCAGCTGCTGCGGATACTCGAGCGTCGGGACCTCATCGGCTACAGCGCAGACAGGTCGCGCAACGTGGGCGTCTGCTTCATTTTCAAGAAGTCAGGGAAGCTGCGGCGCATCCTGGACGGCGGGCACGCATCCCTGCGCTTCTAGGTCCCTGACAAGGAGGCCTTGGCGTCGGGCGCCAGCTTCGCGGGCCTTCACGCCGACGGAGGCAAGCCCATCGCGGTAGCGGAGGTCGACCCGGCGGACGCCTTCTACACGATGCTGCTCCCGCCAAAGATTCGACGATACTTTGCGGTGCCTGGGCGTCGAGCTGGCCTGCTGGGGCTCGACCGCACCACTGGCGGGCGCCAGCTCAGCGGGACAGACATGGTCCACCCGCGCTCCGGCTGTCCGCCATGGGTTGCTCCCTCAGCCTCTGGATCTGCCAGGCCATGCTGGAGGCGACCGCCCTGCGCGCGCTGCAGCTCACCGCCTCGAACGGTTTTGTTGACCGACGGCCCGTGCCTCAGGTTACCCATGGGGCAATGCACACAGCGCGCGTGGACAGCGCGCTCAGTTTGTCGACGCACCAGGAAGTCGCTCGTGCTGCCGCCCGGGATGTGGGCGCCCAGCTCAAGGCCGCGGGCCTGCCGACCCACGGTGGGGAGTGCAGCTTCGGGGCCGCGGCGCTGGGCTGGCAGTTCGGTGAGAAGTTCCCGATCATCGGCTTGAGCCCTGCGCTGCGCGCGGGCAAGAGCAGGCCTCCAAGGTTGAGGCCGCCAGTCCAGTTGCCGACCACTGACCGGGCTCGGCCAGCAGCGGCGCGGAGTGCCCTGCTAAGCTCGAGTTTCGAGTTTCACGCGATCAGGGGCGAGCGCCCAGGGCGAGCGAAGATGATGTGCAGCTCGCGCGTGGCAATGTCACTGCCATGGGGGACAAGGTGCGGCAATTTGCCCAGGAGGCCCACTCTATCCAGCGCTTCGTTTGTTTGCCTTCTCGAGACTCATGTCTCTCGTTCAGGGCTGAGACAGCGGCTGCGGAAAGCCCGTGCCGATGAGCTCCGTCTCATTGCCAACCCCGCCGGGGCAAAGAACAGGCATGTCTGTGCTGTTGGCGCCGGCAAAGCCACCGAGGGTGGCGAGTGGGTTTCTGCCTCTGGGCGCGTGCAGGTTCACCCGCTGGCGCCGCGATCAGAGCACCTATCCGGCGTTCATGTTGACGGTCATAATATGACAGACGGTTTCACTGTTGCTCACGTGCACATGGTAGGATATTCATTCGTTCTGACCACATTCCACGGGTTTTCAGATTGCATTGACGGGCTGCAACGAGCTGCGATTTGCTAGATTAGGGGCTTTCCTCGCTTTCCCCCGGCTCCCTTGGGCTGCCATAGGGGACTTGGCGTTTCCTCCGGATCCTTGGCTGCCTCGGGGTTTTCGTCGAGGGCGGGGGGCGAGGGTGCACGGGCGCCCATCGATTACGCGTGCGATGCAGGTAAGGGGCGGTAGCCACATAGATGATGTAATTCGGAGTTTCGCGGCTGCAGCGCTTCTCATCGAAGGCGACCCACTCATGAACGCCCCTCGGAAGACCCATCGCGGGCCCGCGTTGCCCCTAAGGGCCACAGGGAAGCAGCCTATGACTAGGGGATCAGCGCTGCCTGCTCGGCCCCCACAGTTTGGTCGACCCGAGGGGGCCCCTACACCAGGCTCCAAGTCTCGACGGTCTCGCGCGGCCAGGGCGGTCAGTGCCGCGGGCGGTGCTTAGAAGACTACGGATCGAGACCAGGATTTGTTCTGGGGCCTCAGGGCTTCTGCCAATCCCGACCCCTCTGCGCCATGTGCAGGCCAGCCAGTGGAGGGGGGGCGAGCGGCCGCTGTTTTTTTCCCCCTTCTACAATGCTGCCAGCAGGCATGGCCAAGATGATTCTTACGACATCCAGTCGGACATCCCCTCGGAGGAGGATCCTTGGGCCGACGAGCTACATGTTCTCGATGACTCTGAGTTGGGAGCACCGGCGGTCCCGAGCGAAGCTGATCCCGCGATGGGGGGAGCTGAGCACGGCGCCGCCGATGGCCCTGGCCCGCGCAGCGAGTCCTTCAGGCAGTTCGCTTGGGACCCTGAGGCGCCAGTCTTTCACGTGCCCCAGTATGCCCCCAGCATTACTTGGGGGCTGGCGCCGCCTGTCGAGGGCTCGATGGCCGATGGTGATGCACCGCTCGCTTCTGACGTCACCTCCCATCCAGCGCAGTCGAAGAGCCGCCCCCCCCCCCCCACCCACCCACCCACCCACCCACCTCCAGGTGTCGCCCAGGAGGTCAGTTTCTTCGTGCCCGGCGATTTGTGGATTGACGCCAGAGAGGCGGTCGTTTTCATCCCAGCAGCGCAATGCACGCCCTCGCCAGCGTATTTATCGCCCGTAGCTGCCAGGCTCGGGCACCGTTCCGTCGCCCCTGTTTCGGCCCTGTGCGCTTCGTGGGTGACTTTGTTGGAGCAGGCGGCGCATGGCCATCGCGGCGTGGAAACGCCGCCGACGCAGTCTCGTGCTTTAGGCTATAGTTTTCAACCCTGCGAGGTCCGAGTACCTAATTAGGGCAGGCTTGTACCGCATCGGGATGTGGTGGCTTCGTGGTGGGAGAAGGTCCACGCGGCATTGCACCGCCTCGACAGTCATCCATCTCGGAGGTCGAGCTGCATACAGCAGCTGCAGCTCGAGTGCCCCGATCAGGCCCGCAGAGGTTTGCGCGAAGGCTCAGGCCCCGCATGGGACAGGTGGCAGATGTCATTCCAGGGCGTTGCTTGTGATGACTTTCGTGGTCTAACACTTTATGCACTGACAGCCAAGCGCATTGCTGGCAGATGTCGGCGACGCGCGCTGAGAGCATCGCTCACGGATTTTCGAGGATGGATGGTTCAGTCCACTTCAGCGGGGGGGTTTCGCAAAGCGATGCGTCGGGAGCCCGCCCCCGCCGACGAGGTGGTCGTTGGGTCCCAGGCCCTTTTCAATCCCACAGACGTTGTTGAGCGAAAAGCGGGGGGATTCCGTAAGCTGCGGGCTCCGAGTGAGCTCAACGAGGGGAAGCTCCAGAACCTTTTTTCCCGGCTCGGCAGGCAGCGCGCGATGATCCGCTGGACCCACTGTCTGTTGAGGAACTTCGGAGGGCGGCGCACGCGATGCGACCCAAGACAGGCATGGGAGTAGACGCGCTGTCCCCCGCAAATATCGAGCGCCGGCCAGACATTGCGCTGGCAGAGCTTTCTCAAGTTTACAGTGTGATTGAAGAGTCTCTTGTGTGGCCATCGCAGCTAGGCCTCATACATTGACGGATGCTGCCCAGGAAATCTTCGAGGGATCGTGCCATTCGACTTCTTGCGATGGCAGCGAGAATTTGGGGCTTTGCCATGGAGCCGCTTATTTAGTCTTGGGCTGCTGAGTCCGAGCCCGAGTTGGACGTTACTGCTGCAGGACATGCTGCCTTGCGGGAAGCTATGACCAGAGTGGTCGAGGAGGAGGTATCAGAAGTTTCAGGTGTACCGTCTGGTCATGGTTGTTTGGCATCCAGGGGTATTGCGATTCCATTGGATGGTTTCTTCCTATCCCAGCTGCCCCAGTTGCTTTATTTTTGGAACTGACGCAGTGCCTCGCGCCACGAGCTCTCGGGCAAGGCCCAGCGCTTGCCGAACCCATCCGGCCAACGAGAAGCATTGTGCAAGGGCTCAGAGGAGGCAAGAGGTCTGCAAGATGTCGAACCGACTTTATACGAGCTCGCATCCCCCCAGCGCGCGCACGCGTCAAGCCAGGTTCTGAGGGATAGGCGGACAGCAGGACTCTTGGACGCATGCCTGGCTCTGCGGGAGCAGCAGCTCACGGTGTCGCCTAAGAGTATCATTCTTTGCGCGCGCATCGACAACGCACGGCATATTGCACGCAGGTTGCAGCAGCGAGAATTCGAGGTGAAAGCCAACGCTCAGGTCGGTTACCTGGGGGCTGGTTTGGGGCGAGGAAGACGCTGCGCTTGTCCGACTCGGAGGAAACGAGTTCTGAAAACTAAAAGAACGCCCGTGCTGCAATGCGATATCATGTCACCAGCAAGCTTACGCGCGCCAGAATGGAACCCTCGCCGCAGAGCTGTGCGCGCACCAGTTGCACGGCGGCCATGGTGAGGTGCAGGAGGCAGATCGGGGCTGCATGCGGGACGGGGGCTACGGGACGGTGTTTGACCACACTCTTGGTTTTTCGTTGTCCAGGGGGGGGATCCGATATAAACGCTACCTGGCGCCTGGTTGCAGTCGTGGCTGAATCGATGGTTTGCACCGCCGAGTTTTCGACCCATTATTTCCCAGGCGTGGCCCAAGCTGCTGGCCAAGTCCCGCGGACCCCCCCTGGGCAAATATCGAGACTGGTTCGAGGCCTCACTGAGGCCGTCATTCTGTATCTTCTGGAATCTGGTTGGGACCCCGTGGAGCCATCTCGATGGATCGCACCCGGCAATGACGCGCGCGGCGGTTTAACAGAGTGAAAGTTTCCGTCATCAGATTTGAAGGGGGGCTTGATCGATGACGACCCCGCCCCCTTGCTCGATGAATTTGAAGCGACCCTGCGTGCCTTGCAGCGGGGCCGAGTCTCGACCCACTTCTACGGGAGAGGGATGCTGAGAGGAGCTGATAAGTGTTATGTTCTTCGGTTGCTGGGCGGAACCCAGCAGGCAACCAGCGGGGGCAGACTTTCAGAGCTTCTTGTACCCTTCGCTTGCAGAGGCTCGTGGGCGCGGGCCAGGAGGCAGGAGGAGATCCACGGAGAGCAGGAGGTACTTGGTCCAAGGTGTGGGGGGCGCCCCGAGACCACTTTTCACCGGGCATGGGAGCGCGAAGCGAAACGATGAGCCAAGGCACATAAGGACAGCGAGCGCTTAGCGAGT